CCTTCCCCTCCTCCTCCTTCTCCTCCTCCTCCTCCTCCTTCCCCTCCTCCTCCTCCTCCTCCTCCTCCTCCTCCTCCTCCTTCCCCTCCTTCTCCTCCTCCTCCTCCTCCTTCTCCTCCTCATCTTCCTGCACCATTTGTTGACTTCGCACAGAAATCGTAGGGAGTAGGGGTAGGGCTCGCATGTGGCCCCCTAGAGTGGAGTTCACTTCGCTCCGAAGTCGTGGGGGGGGTAGGGGTAGGGTTCGTATGAGGCCTCCTGGAGTGGGCCACCTCCGCAAGCGCTGCGCGAAGCACAATCCTCCGGAAGTCTGGGCAGACGCCCGGGCCGCCGCCGTTCAGGATGGCGGCGCCGATCCCCACGGGCCAACCCGATTCTTCACCTCCTCATCTTGCTCCCCCTCTGGCCTCCATCCCCGACGTCTCCCCCTCTCCCTCCTCTCGCCCCTCCCACTTGGGCAGCGAGGCTCGGGGACGCGCATACATGGAGCGCAATGACAGGCCCCGCGTGCGGCAGTCAGGGCTGTCCTGGAGTGGGGGCATCAGCGCCAAAACCCCGGGTGCGGAGCGCCCTTAAGTAAGTAAGGGCGCCGCTGGAGGCGGCGCCAGGATGTCGACACCACGGTTGACTCTTTGAGTATCGTTTATCCGATCTCCATCCCCAGCGCCGTGGGCTGGGCCCCACTGGCCGACTTCGGGTTTCGAGGGGTGCATCCCCAACTGGGGGGGTTACTTGGTGGGGGATTCGCAGGTGATGGGGATGGGGATGGGGGTCGGTTTAACGATGCTGACTGGTTGGGGTGCTAGGGCCAGCCTGAACTGCATCCATCAGTGCACCCCAAGAGCAAGAGCAAGAGCCCGCGTCGAGGCACCTACGAGGGTGCGGCGGGGGGGCGCCGGGGCGCCGGTATGACTCAGAAGCTGGAACTGAACACAGGGAGCCGGGGTCGGGAATAGGGTAGCTGGATTCGGAGAGATGGGAGTCGCCAAATAAAGGAAGACAAGGCCACCCCGAGCATCGCCGAATAGGGGAAGGCATGGCTTGTCTAGCCACGGAATGCCTCTGCTTCGAATCAGGTTCTCCGACCTGGAGCCAACGCGTGGCCGAAGACCAGCGCCCCTGCCGAGCCAGAGGTGGTCCTTCCGCATCCTGAGTCTACAGCCGGGTGCTGTCTGCGCGGAGCCCCGGGCGGACTTCTTCACGAGAGGGCCGCACAACCGCCCAAGGTCGGCTCCCGGGCCACCCCTGGAGTCCATCCTGGCCCGATCTCCGAGCCGCGTCGCAGCCGTGGCAACGAGCACCTGTCAGAAACGGCCAACAGCCTCCAGAATGTCACGACGACGTCCTCCATAAGGACGACGACGACGATGACGACGACGATGACGACTCCCGACGACGACGACGACGACGACGACGACGACGACGACGACGACGACGACGACGACGACGACGACGACTCGCGACGACGACGACCCCCTCTCTCTGCCACTTAGATCTGAGCGTCGCAGAAGTGTTCACACTCCTCGGGCGCCGGAAACCATTCCTTGGCCTGACGATCGTCAAAAGCGACTCATGATCCTGAGACCCGATGTCGCGACAAAACGCCACACCGTGGAAAGCTCAACTGGAGCCCTGAATCAGATCTTTCTGCTGCATTTCTCGAGCTGGATCGATATAGTCGGACCTAGGCCAGAAAAGCATCCCTCAAGAACATGAGACCCTCCATCGGCCAAAACAAACGGAACATCCAAGGGTACCCTACCCAGGATGCACAAGAGCACCCAACAACCATGAAGAACAATGGTATACCCTCCCCGAACCGTCTTCGACCTCATACCTCGGTCCAACGGTATACATCCTGGTCCCAGAGGTGGGATCGATCAAGCGACCCAGGGCCCACGCCACCAAATAAATGCGGCGTCGGAAGGAAGGGCCCTTCTTCCTCTCTCGCTCCCTCCGCCCAGTCCTTTGGGACCTGCGCTCGCAGCGCCAGGAACTCCTTCTCGGCCGCGATCTGCCACTCGGTCTTCGGGGCTCCGACCTTCCGCCGGCGCAGAGGAATAATACTAATAATAATAATAATAAGAATAATAACAAGAATAATAAGAATAATAATGAGAAGACTCGGCACTGCTCGTGGTCTCGTGTCAGGCCTGATGGGGCACGATCGGGCGAGCGGAAAGCCTTGAAACCTCTGAGCGCAGAGGAGGAGGAGAAAGATGCTGCGCACGCAACTGCCTACCAGAAAGAGGGGGCACACGCCGGTCGGAAGAAGCAAGTATCACATGAAGCAGGAAGGCGGCCAAAGTAGATTAGGCTCAGACCCTCCAAAACAAGACCAATAACACACAAAAAACATATCGATTCTTGAAGTAGGAAGGCGATTGAAGTAGATTGGGGTCTGGGGATCCACAACATACGTGCTTTCAAAGACCGGCATGTAAAGGAGGAGGAAGAGGAGGAAGAGGAGGAGGAAGATGAGGAGGAGAAGGGGGAGGAGGAGAAGGGAGAGGAGGAGGAGGAGGAGGAGGAGGAGGAGGAGGAGGAGGAGGAGAAGGAGGAGGAGGAGGAAGAGGTCGCCGCGAAGCTGCTTCAATCGCTGTGCTCGATCCTCCCGGCGCGCGCGCGCGCGCCAGCTGCGGTCCGGCGACCTCGTCGCCATGCTGCCCGCGCGACTGCCGAGAAGAAACACCGGAAGTCAATCGGCACTTGCTCCTTCTCCCTCCTCCTCGTCCTCCTCCTTCCTCTTCCTTCACCTCCCCCTCGCCTCCCTCTGCCCCTCCCCCCCGCTCCCGACCGTCTCCTCGCTGGTTGAGGTCGGTCGCTCGCTCGGTCGCTCTGCGCATGGCCGAGCCGCGGTGTCAGGATAGGTCGGTTGGCGGCCGCAAGCGAGCGTTAGGGCACCGCGGCCCCGGTTGGTGACAGGCTCTGAAAGGGGGCACCCTCCCGAACGATCGGGTTGGAGAAGCCTGGGACGAAGACGGACATTATAACACGATGCACCCCTGTTGGAGGTGCACGTCCGAATCGAATCTACAGCATCAACAGATGTTCGAACACACAGGCAGTATGGCGGGAATGCGTCGCCCAATGGAAACCGACGCACACATGGTATAAGCTTGCTCGGGTGACGCCGAGAGCACGATCGAGGAGGAGGATGATCGAGGAAGAAATGGACTGGACTGGACTGGACTGCCACCTGGAGTGCCGAAGTCCTCTGGACGGCCGAGAACAACGCTGAAGGACTCGAGCCATGTCCCCGATGTCAGAAAATCCACGACACGGCGAACCTGTACGTAGAAAGAATGAGCCTGGTGGGCGGCCTGCTGGGCCTCGGGCGGCGCCTTCAAAATCGCAGGGGGGAAGGAGAGGAGGAGGAGGAGGAGGAGGAGGAGGAGGAGGAGGAGGAGGAGGAGGAGGAGGAGGATTAGAGTTAGGAGCGCTGTAAGCACAGATCATGAACTCCGCGCAACTCCAGAAGTAGGAGGAGGAGAATGAGGAGGGGGGGGGAGACCGACAGACTGGACTGGGAGTGCCCCGTCGTCGACTTCGCCGTGCTGGTCCCTGGCATGCTCGGCATCGGCCCTGGCTGGCGCACCCCCTCCTCCTCGGGGGCGGCCGCCGCTGAGCGGTGGGCCGTGCCTGGGGTGGGTGGGTTGCGTGGGCTCCCGACCTCAGAGCACCCACGGCAAAGGGACCCGCGTGGCGCCAGGAGGCGGAGGAGGAGGAGGAGGAGGAGGATGAGGAGGAGGAGGAGGATCGAGGAGGAGATAAGAAGAATGTGGAGGAGGAAGCGGAGAGGGCTGGGTAGGAAACGCCCTTTGGCTGGCGGCCGGCGCGCCCCAGACGGGCCTTCACCGCCCGCACGCCAGTGAAGCGGTTGATGCGGACGCGGGAGACGCCTCTGGAGTCCTTGAGCGCGGGTGGGCGGCGAGGAAGCTCGAGAACGGGGCGGGGGCCCCTGGACTGTGTGGACTCCTCCCCCTCCTCCTCCCTTCTCCTCCTCCTCCTCCTCATCCTCCTCATCCTACTTCTCCTCACCCTCCTCCCTCCTCCTCCTCTCCTCCCTCCTCCTCCTCCTCCTCCTCCTCTCCTCCTCCTCCCCCTCCTCTCATAGAGAGCTCCGAAAAACTATACAACCAAGAACTCCATAAAACTCCATTCCCAAAGGCCACTCCCCCGAGCTGGTGGTGGTGGCTTTTTTCTGGTTGCGTGTTCCTCCTGCTTCCCCTCCTTGCTCGCTCGCCTGCTCCTCCTCCTCACCCTCCTCCTCTCTCCTCCTCCTCCTGCTCCTCCTCCTCCTCCTCCTCCTCCTCCTCCTCCTCCTCCTCCGCCTCCCGAAACGAAGAAGACGATGCTTTCACGACGCCCAGGGGGTGGACGAACGGGCGGGGGGTAGCCAAGGGGGGGCATCAGCCGAATGCAGCCCCTGCGAGCGCGCGGGGGGGGCGAGGAGGTTCCAGAACGGGGTCCGCCTCGCCGCCCCGGCGGCGAAAGGAACTATCCTCTCCCCGACGGGCGGGAGTGGCGACGAAGAGCCCGAGGGCCCCACCGACGAGGTGCACCCCAGCAACGGCCCTCCCAGCAGGGGGAAGGCAGGGGGGGGAGGAGGAGGAGGAGGAGGAGGAGGAGGATGAGGAGGAGGAGGAGGAGGAGGAGAGGAGGCGAGGAGGAGAGAGGAGGATGAGGAGGAGGAGGAGGAGGAGGAGAGGAGGAGGAGATGAGGGGGAGGAGGAGGGAGGAGGAGGAGGAGGAGGGGGGTTGGAGGAGGAGGAGAGGAGAAGGAAGAAGAGGAGAGAAAGAGGAGGAGGAGGAGGAGGAGGAGGAGGAGGAGGAGGACGCTACAAGCTAGATTCTTAAGTTGGGTTAGCGTTAAGAAAGGAGGAGGGAGGAGGATGAGGAGGAAGAGGAGGAGGGGAAGGAGGAGGAGGATGGCCAAGACCCCATCACCTCCGGCGGGGGCGCAGAAGCGGGAACTCCTGCTTCACGGGGCCCCACCGCGCCGCGGCGGCGGCGCCCGCCGCGCGCGGCAGGAGCGGCCGGCAGAGGCGGCCGGCGGCCGCCAGCGCCAGCGCCATCGCGTCCCTCCAAGGCGGCCTGGCGACGGCGGGCGACCACGGCGACACCCAGCGACCAGCGACGACGTCCGGCGCGGGTGGCGGCGACTGGCAGCGACGTGCAGTGACGACGGCGACGACGGCGATGGCGCCAGCGGCGGCGACGACGACGGCGAAGGCGCCAGCAGCGGCGGCGGCGGCAGCGGCGGCGGCGGCAGCGACGGCGCCAGCGGGAGGCGACGACGGCGACGGCGATGGGCGGCTGGCGTCAGGGCCGAGCAGGTCACGCCCCGCGCCTGGGGCCCCGGCTCTCCTGCAGTGTGTGTTCGGCGTTGCTCTGAGGCCTACGCTGGGAAGCAACTCCTGGGCCCCTGTGAGACGACGCCAGGACGCGCATAACACCGGGTGAGGACAACTCGAGAATCTTGGCTAAAGATAGAGTCGGGTAAAGATAACATCGTGTAAGGATACAATGCGCCGGATGTGGAGGATATCTCGGGTGCCACGGCCTTCTGAGAGCGTTCCGGAACGCTTTGAGAGCGTTCCAGAACGCTCTGGAACGGGTTTGTCCTCGTCCTAGCCCCGTCCAACTCGAGTGCGGGACCATTGCACTGGATACAACCTCGCCATCGCTCGGACGTCCATTCTCCGCGCATCTTTGGATCTCGTGCTTTTGTATTTTTTCGCAAGACGACCCAAGATGCTCCTCGATGTTCTCTGCTGGGGAAAAATGCACACGTCCCAGCGATGCCAAGCAACCGCAATACCCCAAGGATCGAGCCCAGCAGAAACAGAGCTGGATCAGAAGGAACTTGGCAGGGGCAGGGCGGTCTTCGACCGCGGATCTGCGGGCTGCCCTCTTGCCGCGCCGATGCCGCACGCGACCTCCCACGAGTGCCAACCGAGCCTGCGCGTCGCCGGCTCGGCGGCCCGCCGAAGCCCTCCCGGGCAAGTGCCTCACGCTCACGCCGCGACTCGGCGGCGAGTCCCGGGGGAGACGTGAGAGGGGGCGGGCCCTCTCAGAAGGCTCGGAAGTCACCCGGCCTTCGGAGACCTTTCCGGAGCCTTCCCCGAAGACGCAGGACGCTTCTCAGAAGGCTGGAGGACTTCGAAGAGGCCCCGCCGCCTGCTGAGAAGGCCTCCTCCCTCTCGCTTCCCCCCCCTCGCCAGCCTCCGAGCGACAGCGCCGGACGCCGTGTGGAGAATGTGTGACACCCCGAGCGCTCGCGGCTCTCCGATCGCGCAGAGCATTGGATGTCGGCCGATGCCGGGCCCACCGACGGCGTCCCTGCGGCGCGTGGGCGCCCGACCCGCGGATCGGGGCAGGCCCCCCCGAGGCACGAAGCCGGCACCGCCTGACTGGGCGGCGGAGCGCGACGATCCTGCACGGGAGCGGGGCGCATCGCTGATCCGCGCACCTGCCTCGAGATCCGACTTCGCGAAACAGACATTCGACACCAGAGAAAAGCCCAAATCAAACAGTGGATGGATTTTGCTGAAGAGGTCGACCGGGAACCCGGGGGCCCGGGAACCCAAACCCACCGAAATGGGCTGGGAACCAATAACGGGGAACCCAGGAGCCGGAACGGGGAACCCGGGAACCCAGCCTGCTACTAAAATCGGCGGGAAACTTTCGCCAAATCTTTCAACTTCCGCTAGGACCCCTTCAGTGCAAGCACTGATTGGGGAATCATCATGGGAAATCATGCCCGGAGCCCTAGACTCAATCTTTCTGCTGCTGCATTCTCGAGTCCGATCGATCCGTGAGGGTCCCTAGGCCCGAAGCAAGGCAGCATCGCACGGTGTGAACAACATGTGACTCCAGGATCTCTGGGATCCGCACGCCTTGACCCATGCTTGCGTCTCCTCGGTTCTGCCCACCCGCCCCCTGTGCCTCCTGCATCACACCGAGGAACCGCAAACATCCGCCGATGTGATTTTGGTAAAATGCACGGCCACAGAGTTCCGGACCCCTCCTTTGGGTGTGTTTTCGTCTCGTATCCATATTTGATGGCCCCAGGGCCCAAGAATTAACGCCTGGATCAATGGATACTTGGATGTCCAGTCGCGACCGACGAGATCGGTCGCTACCGATTTTGCTTCGAATGTCGGTCATCGGTCGCGACCGATTTGCTTCAAAATCAGTCGCGACCGATCGGTCGCGACCAATCGGTCGAGATCGGTGGCGACCGGTCGCGATCGCTTTGGAGTGCCGGTCGGTCGCTACCGCTCGCGACCGAAAAACATGCGGGCCCCAGAGGCCGAATCGAGGGAAGACGCCCAGATGGGAAAAACACGCATCGCGGGAGATCTGGGGATGCCTCATGCCTCCTGCTCTGCTGTGGCGCCTGCGCCCTGGCGCCTGCCGCACCCCCCTTGATGATTGGATGCCCTGGAACTTTCCAGGCGCGACCGACGGGATCGGTCGCGACCGCTTTGGCTCCAAATTCTAACATCGGTGGCGACTGATATGCCTTTCAATCGAGCGGGACCGCCTTTGAATGCCGCTCGGTCGCTACCGATCGTGGGCGACAACATCTGGTGTACGTGGCGGCGCGCACGAGGGGGCACCTGGGAGGGGGAAGGCTTCTGAGGAGGCCGCCTCTGACAAGGCGCTGGCCTTACGCCTACAGACAAGGACCGCGCCTTCCAAGCAGCAGGGTGCGTCGAAAAAACGCCTCCTCCCCTCCCAGTACCCCCCTTTGTGCGCGTAGCTGATATTCAGTGATCTGGGTATCAAGCAGTGGCGAAACCTCCTGGCTCGCCTTGTGGCCCACGGAAGAATGCTCTAAGAGCCTTTGTGGTTTGCACGAAATTTTCTTACGGCATGCCTGGCTGACGCCGTCTTGTTTTCATACGTCGGGTTTACGTTCTCCAACCATTGATTGTCTTTGTCTGTTCGAACACCTGTGGGTTCGAAGAGCACTTCTTGGTAGGCCTATGATTAGGCTTGCCGGGACGGTCGGTCCCTGCTCAAGGGCAGCGCACCTCTGCGTCCCCCCCGCCCCTGGCCGTCCCGCGGAGCCTCGGGCCGCCCTGGCCCTCACCACCCGCCCATCGCCCGCGCGCGAGCGCGCGCGCGGGGGCCGCGCGGGGTGCGCCGCGCGGGGGCCGCGCTGGCGCGGCGTGGCAGGCTGGGGAGGAGGGGAGGGGTGCGGGCTTAAGACGGAGCCAGGACGAGGATAACAGCGGGGTGAGGACAACATCGAGAATCTCTGAGATCCCGCGGCTCTGGAGGCTGTCTCTCTGCGAGCGCTCCAGAGCGCACTGGGGAGCGGAATCTCCTCGTCCTGGCCCCGACCGCTGGGGAGGAGAGGCGAGTCCCTGAAGTCCCGGCGCTGCACTTGTTTCATGCCCGGCGCTTCTGCCACGCCTCGCGCCCCAGGACCATCTCAGATCGATCCGGCTCGAACATGGGGCAGAAAGATGGGGTCTAGGCCTCCGGTCGTGACTTCACGAAGTCTTGCAATTTTCCGCACCCCGGGATCTGAGAGGGGAGGGCGACATGGAGGGCCCACGCCTCGCCATCGCTCGGACGCCTGTCGACTTCGTGGCTCGTAGTGTCCGCCGGGTGAAGCCAGCTGCTCCTCGAAAGTCCTCGCGGAGGCAAAGATGCACGCGTCCCGGCGCTGCCGAGTCTCAGGGGAAGGGGACATGGAGGGCCCATGCCCCCCCCAGGGTGATGCCAGATGCTCCTCGAAAGTCCTCGCCGCGGCAAGGAGGCACGCGTCCCGGCGCTGCCGAGTCTCGGGGGGACGGGGACACAGAGGGCCCAGGGCCCCCCCGCGCGTGAGGACCGCGTCACGACGGGCAGCTTTTCTCGCGGCATCTTCGGCCGTCGGGGCCTCTGAAATGCCCGACCACCGGGGCCGGGCCGGCAGACACAGGACAACAGGATAGACAGCCGGTCCCCGGGGAAGTGGTCCAGACCTCTGGAAGGGGCCCTGGGACACACAAACAAACAGACACAAATCACAGGCTTCCCCACATTTGCCCGCAGTTCCTGGGTCTTTGTCTTCCCCCCCCCCCACTTCCATGTTTTCCCATCTTTTCTGGGGGATCGACGATTCATTGTGTCTGTGTGTTCTGCCCCCTCCTGAACCTCTGAGGGTCCACGTCATGGACCAACATCACGACGTCGGAGGTCTTGGGGGGGATGGGCGGCGAGGGAGGGGAGGCGGCTGTGGGGAGGCGGCTCCTGGGAGGACGTCGTGGGAGCGAGGGGGGGCCAGTCAACCCGTATCACAAGGACCCACGAGTATGGAAGGGGCCCTGCAGTGGGACATACACATATACAGATGCAAGTGACAGGATTCCCCTACATTTTCCCATATGTTCTTGATTTTTGTCTTCCCCGCCACTTCCTATATTTTTCCATATTCCCTGGGGAATCGAAGATTCATTGTATCTGTGTGTGTGTGTGTTTCTTCCCTCCTGAGATTAGGATGCAAGGGCCTTGGAAGCCCATGTCGAAGCCTTCCGAGCGGGGCGCGGCCAACGAAAGTGGCCAAAGATGGACCGAGGAGGCAAGGGTGCAAGGGTACCCTTGGGAAAGCTGCCCATCCTCACTTACTATGCGGGTTGACCGTACTTGAGCTCGATCAGGGGGTCGGCAAGCCCGATTCTTTCGCAAGGCTGAGCGCATGACTGAGCCGAATCAAGCTGGCCACAGCGAGGCCAGGCCGGGGTAGGACGGTTCGAGTGCAGTGGTGGGAAGGCGGGCGGCTGTAGAGTGGCGGTTCACGCCACACCAACACATGGAGACACATAGAGCGACTGGTTTCTGCCGAAGAGAGAGATTATGGAGTGGATGGGCACCGAATCTCCAAGAGCAGACTTTGAACCGAATTTACGAATCATCGCCCACGACCCTGCTGCGTGAGGCCCTCCCCACGCCATTCCCATTCTGACAGGGCAACCCTCTGGCCGCTTGCTGTCAAATACTCAAGGCAACCCCGTGGCTGCCTAAGCTTGGGGCATGGTTAACGGTCCCTGGCAGCAACGACGCCCATATCCTTACATACCAGCTAGGTTATTATAAAAACGCTTACATATACACAGGTCAAAGCAATTTGCACATTGAGCTCTCAACGAACTAAACACGCTAAAACGACGCTACGCTTTTTGTTTAGCGCGTTTGTGTTACGCTTGTTAGCGTTTTTAGGCCCGTCGCTGTGGAAATTCATTTGCTTTAGCGTGTTTAGCTTTCTTGTCAAAGGCTGCCCCTTGTCCTCACTGCCATCTTCGCTTCCGCCCTCCTGCTCCTGCCGCCTCCAGTCCCTCCCGTCCCCAAAAGCGCACCGACAACGCCCTAACACGTGTTAGTACCGACGCGAAAACACCGCCAGCAGCAACGACCAGAGAGCACATTGATTCTACCAATGGTATAGGGAGGACTGGACGCAAGGAGAAGGAACTGAGGACGCGGTAGATGGCAGTGGAAGACAGCGCAACGAACTGATTTGACAACTTTCAGAAACAGAGCTCAACAAACAACACAACATAATACACGGTTTACACGGATTTGACGGGTTGAGGTCTGTAGAGCTCCAGGAACAGTTGTAAGCTGTTGATATGTTCGGCGACCTTATTGACGGACTGGGGCTCCACCAGTAATGGAAAACAATGGTTTCTCCACCGCACCCGCCGCACAACAACGACGACGACTGCGACTACGACTGCGACTACGACTACAACTGCAACCACGACTACGATTACGACTAATGTCACGACTGCAATCACTATTCTACTCACGTTGATAACCACGACTATCATCACGTCTACAACCGCCACCACTGGTCCCTCTTGCATTCCTGATGAGAAGATGCTCACACATCTTCTCTCGTGCAGGGTTGGTGAATTTGTGCCCGGGAAAGAAAGGAACCCCAAACAGTATCCAGCCGCACAACAATAGAGGGAGAATAATGGCCGCTACGACTGCGACGACGACTACGATTATGACTACAATCGCGACTACGATGATGACTACAATCGCGACTACAATCACTGTTACAATCGCGTTTACAACCACGACTACAATGACGACTACAACCGCAACCACTGCTCACAAAGCCTCTCGCGCGTAGGATAGCACATGATTGGGCCTCTTCCTGGGAGAAAAAACCCAAAATTCTCTAGCCGCCCAACAATATAGGGCTATTTTTGAATATTACTCCTGTAGAGGGACAGGCCCGACTTGAAACTGCCCCTGATGATTCGGGGCTCCGACCAATGGCGGCGATCCCAGGGAGAGGCCCGCGGCCGGGCCTCGTGACGCCGGGGTCCACGATGAGCTCCCGGCGCAGCTCCCGCCCGGCCGACACCACCGGGCCTCGCGGGGGGGGGGCCGGCCGGCGCGCTGCGGGCCGCTCCCTGCGCGGGCGCCAAGCGCCGGGCAAGACGGAGGTGTTGCACCTGCAGGTGCTCGTCGTTTCAAACTCAGACATGATCGCGGCGTAAAAAATTCAGGACGGAGGTTTTTGCCGTTTTCGGCCTCTAGGGGCCCTCGCCGGGCCCCGGGACCGTCAAAAAACTACTAAGGATGAAAAACCGGCCCTGGAGAAAGGGTCGGGACTTCTGGGGACGCCGTCCTGAAAAAATCCGGACGTCGCATGTCTGGGAAGAACCCCTCTTGCCAGACGATCGTGAAGTGCCAGGCCCCATAAAGACAGAGGTGGTGCACCTCGTGTCCGTCGCTTCGAAGAAATATCCTCTTGCCAGAGCGAGCGTTAGGCCATTTGACTACGGATGCCAGGGTACGTACTTTGTTCATCGGCCTCCTCCTCCTCGTCCCCCTCCTCCTCTCCTCCTCCTCCTCCTCCTCCTCCTCCTCATCCTCCTCTTCCTCTTCCTCCTCCTCCTCCTCCTCATCCTCCTCCTTGCCCTTCACTGGCAAGACCTGTCCTTTTCAGGCGTCACGTTAGATTTATCTTGCAGTTTTCGTAGTGAGCGTTGGTTTAGTCGGCGTTTCGACATTGGGGTGAAGGGGGGGTGATAGGGGGGGTCTGGTTCTGGGTCTTTGCTTCGTGCGACTGTTTGCAACAGTGCGTCCTATGGGGGAGACTCCACCTGCGTGAAACCAGCGCCCAAAACTGCCAAGATCTACTCCATGTGGGGGGTGGGGGTGCGAGGGCCCGCGCCGATCGGCAAAACAATGAATGAGAAAACGATCGCGTAGTTTTCGGCGTCGGAGTTGTTTCGTAAGCTTCGTGGTTGCTGTAGTTCGCGTGTCGCCTTCGTCGTCCTTGTAGTTCGTCGTTCTCGTCGTTTTCGGCGGCGCAGGAAATAAACAACACGGATAGTTTTCGTCGTGTTCGGCGCCTGCTTGGATCACCGCTGGGGCTGCTATGGGGGTAGAGGGGTCCTAGTGGATGCCAAGGTAGGTTACACCTGGCCTGACCTAGCTGATAAGTGGGTTGCAAGTCTGCTTGGATCACCGCTGGGGTCTCTAAAGGGAGATAGGGGGCTCCTGGTGGATGCCAAGGTGGGCTGTACCGGGCCTCACCACAAGCTTATAAGTGGGTTGCAAGGAAGTGTTCTAAGGGGGGGGGGGGGCAGATATTTCGGCGAAGTAGGTGCAACCCACTTAGCAGAATACCAAGCCCCTTTGAGCCACGTGGGGCAGTTGTGACCCATGTAAAAGCTAGGTTTGTCCAACCCAAACCCACATTATTAGCATCCAAGTATAACTCACCTATCTTCTTAGCAACCTCAGAGGTGGTCCAGGTAAGGGCCTTCTCAGGGTCCCTGGACCATCAAAAACGCCTTCGGACAAAACTCTGGCCTCGGACGAAACTCTGAATGCACCCCTCAATAACGAGGAAGGTTTTTGGTTGCCTTTTCTCCCGTTTGAGTCTCGTGGGGCACTCTGGTCGACACCGCCAGGTTCTCGCCGGGGCGCTCCCCAGAGCAGGTCTGGGGGCGTCGGACTATGTTTCTTCAAGGCCAGCTCCGCAGACCTGGGCGCCGCGAACAAAACAACGGCCGCTGGTTTGTGCCACGCTTTCTCAGCCGCTGGGGACTTCTGGAGGCCGCTTCCTGGCCCTGGGGCTGTCAAAGAACGGCTCAGGTGAGTATCGTTCAATTCGATCCCCATCCCCATCGGCGTGGCCCGGGCCCCACTAGCCGATTTGCCCCCCTAGATGGGGATATATAGGCCGTTCCCCTCGGGCTTCGAGGGGTGTATCCCCAACTGGGGTGGTAATTTGGTGGGGGTCTCGAAGGGAACGGGGATAGGGGATGGGGGATGGATAAACGATGCTGAGCAGGATAACAGGGCGGTCCCGTGGAAACGCCGGGCCTGCGCCTCAGTCTGCCCCCGGCCTGCGGGCCGCAGCCCCTGGCCGCGCCCCTGGCCGCCTGAAGGCAGCCAGGGCGGAGCAGGATGAGGAGGAGCAGCGGACGTCCCCTGAAGCGTCGCAGGGTCGAGCTACAGCCGAACATGCGATCAAGAAAATCATAACTAAAACAATAAAGGGGCCCAAGGACACACAAACAAATACACACAAATAAAAAGATTCCCTAGATGTTCGCATATGTTCTAGGTTTTCGTTTTCCCCCCCACTTCCCATATTCCCCCATATTTTCCTGAGACTCGACGATTAATTGTGTCTGTGTGTTTTTTCTCCTCCTGAAACACCCTGGGCCAGCTTTCTGGACATTTCTTGAGACAAGCCTGGCCAAATTGTTGCGCCGACGCTGGAGGGGCGAACGCGCACAGGAGACTGGGCCAGCTTTCCGGCAGGTTGGCCAAGGAGCGCTGGCCCAACTTTTCGAGAGGAGGTTCCTCAATCAGATGCTCAACCGTACTCAGGCATAAGGTCGCGAAGCGCGAAAGAACGGACATAAGCGGCGGGCTGCAAGATGAACGTGGTGGGGGAGTGCCGATCGCTCCCTTCACGGCACGATGCATGTGGAAGGCAATCGCGAACGACTGCTGACCCTGAGGCCCAGGCTCACCCCCAAGCCCAGCCGAATAGACACATCCCCACTCAAAAGGCGCTGGGGATCAGCAGCCAGCCCCAAGCGAGGAGTAGACGCAGCCTGAGGCGCGCCGGCCCATCAAGAGAGACTGGCGCACTGACTTTTGCGGGAGGAAGGGCCTCGCCCCGCTCGAGCAGGGGACCGATGGAAAGGAAGGGAGGGGATGCTCCGGGATTCCGGCACACTGCAGGCGCGGAACGAATACACGAGGTGGCCGCCTGCCCTCGCTGCGCTCCCTGTCCCGTGTCTCGGAAGCTGAATCTCGCCTGGACACAGCCACGGGGAAGAGGGTCGATAGGGATATGGTAAGCCGTACCACATGCTGTGCCTCAAGCGTGCCATAGTACCTGGAGGAGGCGGAGGAGGAGGAGGAGGAGGAGGAGGAGGCAGGAGGAGGAGGAGGACGAGGGGGAGCGAGGGGGGCGGAGGAGGAGGAGGTGGGGGGAGGGGGAGGAGGAGGAAGCGGAGGAGAAGCTCCGCGAAAAGGAGGAGGAGGAGGACGAGGAGGAGGAGGAGAGGCGGAGGAGGAGAGGAGGAGGAGGAGGAGGAGGAGGAGCAAGAGGAGAAGAGGGGAGGAGGAGGAGAGGAGGAGGAGGAGGAGGAGGAGGAGGAAAGAGGAGGAGGAAGAGGGGGAGGAGGAGGAGGAGGAGGAGGAGGAGGAGGAGGAGGAGGAGGAGGAGGAGGAGGAGGAGGAGCGGGGAGGAGGAGGAGAGAGGAGGAGGAGGAGAGGAGGAGGAGGAGGAGGAGGAGGAGGAGGAGGAGGAGGAGGAGGAGGAGGAGGAGGAGGCCGCACGTGTGCCCCCCCACCCCTCGTGGGCCGCCCAGGCGCGGCCGGGCTCGCCGCGCCCCTCTGCAGCAGACGGCCCTCGGGAAGGGGGCCGAGACAGTGAGCTCCGCGCGGGCACCCCCCCCGCCGCGAAAAAAAACAAGCCGCTGCGAGGCGTCGGCGGCGAGGGGGACGGCCCGCCCCCCTCCGAGCCCAGGGCCGCTGCGCGCCCGGGAGCACCAGGGCCGGGTGCGCGCGCGCCCTCCCGGCTCGGGCCGCGCGGGGCAAAGTGCACTCCCGCGGGGCCCAACAGACACCGCCACCGCTACCGCACGCCACCGCCGCCACTACCACCAGCACCACCACCAGCACCACCACGACCACGACCACGACCACCACCACCACCAGCACCACCACCGCCACCGCCACCACCACCACCACCACCGCCACCGCCACCACCACCACCACCGCCGCCACCGCCACCACCACCACGACCACGACCACCAGCACCAGCACGACCACGCCCACCACCACCACCACCACCAGCACGACCACGACCAGCACGACCACGACCAGCACCAGTACCAGCACCACCCTCGCCCCCTCCCTCTCTACAGGAGAGAGAACAGGAAGAGGAGGGCAGAGCAGGGAGGGGGAAATAGCGGAGGTGGTGTTCTTATTGTTCTATGGGGGGCCTCAACTCCGGTCCTGCCCCGAGGCCGAAGCGGCAAGCATGCGCCGCCGTGGACATCGTGGCCGAAGCCTTCGACCCCACCCTTCTGCGGCAATCCTCGAGATAGAGCGACCCGCCAAAGGCCCGGTGTGACAGGGTTGAAGCGCCTGGGTCTCGGGCTCCGAAACGCTCGCACAAACGGGTCGGGCACGAAAACCAGCACGTCGATGGACGGAGGGGTCCGGGGGCCCGTTTCACTGGAATCTGGCTGGGAGGGGGGAGCACGAGGCACGAACTTTCGTGGGTTAGTCTTCCCTTTTGTTCCCAACCATCCTGTGGTGCTGGGCCCCCGTTCTGAATTCGCGGCGCCCCTTGCGTCTCCCTCCCTCCCGCGGCCCCTCCCTCCTCCCTCGGCCCTCTCCTTCGGGGCGTTGACCTGAGAAACCCTGTCGAAGGAACGGGGTCCCTATTTTCCCATAAGTCAAACATTTATTTCCCATCGAAGCCCTAAGGAAAACCTCAGGCAAGCTGTAAAACGATGAAGGAACACGGAGCCCCTCCCCAACGAGAAGGGTTCCTTCTTTAGCGCCCCGACTGTATGTTCATGCGCGGTCCCCCGCTCAGTTCGGCGCCATCGGGAGCTCGATCTGCCCAAGGCCTCGGTGGGTGCGCTCACGTGCGGTCATCCCGCGAACTGCGGCACACCCCTCGGACGGTGCGTGGCCCCATAGGGAGCTGCTTCCCCCAAGGCCCCGACGAGGACGTTCACACGTGGTCCCCCCGCCCGTGTCGGCACACCCCTCACGCGCTTCGTAGCCCAATCAGGGGCTCCACTGAATGCGCAGTGGGTGCGTTCACGTGGGGGTCCCAGCGTATTTCGGCACACCCTTCACACATTTTTGTGACGCCATGGCGAGTTTCGCCCAGTGCCCCAGCTGGTACGCTCACATGCGGCTCCCGCCCATTTCTTCGCACCCCTCACACGCTTCGTGGCTCAATAAGAAACTCCCCCTCCCTCGTCACACCTGCCTTGCCGTGCTCACCTCTGCATACGGTTGAGCCCTTCGCCAGGGCTCTCGTCGAGGGCAGCACAGACGTGCGAGCATCTATCTGCCGTGGCGCAGGAATCGCCCCCCCCACCTGTGCCATCGACGCAGCAGGCCGACCCTTCCTTCGACGCGCTCGGCCAGTCACGATCACGGTCGCTTTCCTCCTTTATGACTCGCTCCCGCCTCTGTTCCCGCTGCCCCCGTCTGCTTCTGCTCTCCACCCGCGCTCTCGCCCCTCCTGCCTCTGCGGACCTCGCCTGGCTGACGCCCCTCCTGTCTTCGGAGGCGGGCCGCCTCCGACAGCAACGGCGGCGCTCCCGACCGGCTCCACTCCGCTCCACGTCGGCCCCCGCACCCCTCCCGGTCCGGACCCGTGTCCCGGGGCGGACCCCACCGTGGTGACGAGAAGCCTCTCCGGGCCAAAGAAGAACCCTTAATGATGATGATGATGATGATGATGATGATGATGATGATGATGATGATGATGATGATGATGATGCTGATGATGATGATGATGATGATGATGATGATGAGGAGGATGATGATGGTGATGATACTGATGATGATGATGCTGATGATGATGATGACGATGATGATGATGATGATGCTGCTGATGCTGCTGCTGATGCTGATGCTGATGCTGATGATGATGATGCTGATGCTGATGATGATGATGCTGATGATGATGATGATGCTGATGATACTGATGATGATGAGGAGGATGATGATGGTGATGATACTGATGATGATGATGCTGATGATGATGATGATGATGATGACGATGATGATGATGATGCTGCTGATGCTGCTGCTGCTGATGCTGATGCTGATGCTGATGATGATGATGATGCTGATGCTGATGCTGATGATGATGATGATGATGATGATGATGATGATGATGATGATGATGATGATGATGATGACGATGATGAGGAGGATGGGAGGATGAGGGGGAGGGGGAGGGAGGGAGGAGAGGAGGAGGAGGAGAGGAGGAGGAGGAGGAGGAGAGAGGAGGAGGAGGAGGAGGAGGAGGGAGGAGGATGGAGGAGGACGGAGGAGAGGAGGAAGAGGAGGAGGAGGAGAGAGGAGGAGGAGGAGCGTGGTGGCATCGCCGCCGAGGGCCTGGCTCGCGGCCGGCAGCCACGCCGTCGATAGACCAGCGGATGCCAGTGGAGTGTTCTGCGGCCGGGGGGGGCACAGGCCCGCGACGGACGCAGCAAGGATCCTCGTCTTCCTTTCTTAGTCCGCGCCCTCCTCCTCCTCCTCCTCCTCCCTCCTCCTCTCCTCCTCCTCCTCCTTCCTCCTCCCCTCCTCCTCCTCATCCTCCTCCTCCTCCTCTCCTCCTCCTCCTCCTCCTCCTCCCCCTCCTCCTCCTCTCCTCCTCCTTCCCTCCTCCTCCTCCTCCTCCTCCTCCTCCCTCCCTCCTCCTACTCCCTCCCCCTCCTCCTCCTCCTCCTCCTCCTCCGGGGCGTGCCGCGGGAGGCGCAGGCGAGGCCGCCGAGGGCCCCCCCGGCCGTTTCGCCCCAGGGCGCGGGGTCATGGCAAGGGTCACATGCGCACGGGATCGCAGGCCCTGCATGCCATGCCATGCCTGCATCACAGGCGCACATGATCGCAGACCCTGCATTACAGTCATCGGCCTGACCTAAGGAACGAAAAATAAGGAACGAAGCCCCTTTTTATCCTCAGGAATAACGCATAAGGAACGATAAATAACAAATAACGCATAACGCATGCAAACCTAAGGAACGACCGAGTCCCTTTTGAAAAGCAAGTGTTCCTTATTCAAGCCGCTCACTGTAGGCGGCGAGCGAGGGGGGCGGGCCTTCTCAGAATGCTCGGAAGTCTCCAGGCCTTCTGAGAAGCTTTCTGAGTATTCCCCGGAAGACACCAAAACACTTCTCAGAAGGCGCGAGGGCTTCTGAGAAGCCCCGCCGCCTTCCGAGAAGGCCTTCTCCTTCTCGCTTCCCCCCCTCGCTCGCCGCCGATGCATGCCATGCCACCGCGAGATGCGCGGACATCAATCAGAACGCATCTCACTTCCACGATACCGCGTTCAAGGTGCTGCTGCTCTAGAAACTCCCAAAGCGAGTTAGGACAGAAAACACACACGCACACATACACACACACACACACCAGTTCTTCCAAAAGCCTTGTTGAGGCAACAACGCTGCTCGGAGGACAAGCCTTGTCTGCTACAACATGGCCCCACGAGGAGCATGTCGTTGCACACACCTGTGAACAAAGGTCATTTTGTTAACTCGATGGTCGAATACGTCTGACAACCCGAGCTGTTTAAGTCGCCGGCTCGTGCAACATTTGCGCGTTATCAAGGCGCAAAGCCAGATTCATCACGCTGTCCTGTGACCTATGAGGCACGCCGGTCTCATGCGACGTGCGCTCAGCTCAAACAACAAACGCTTCGAGCACCTTCGCAATGACAGAACACAGCAACTGCACGAACTGTTGGAGGTCCGCGCGGGTTTCTTGGATCTGCCCTGGGCCCCTCTCCCTGGCGCGCGGAGCGGGCGGCGCCGAAAACGCCGCAAGGGGAGGCAAGCGCCGATCCAGTGACATCCGACCTTCGTGCGACAACTTATCTAACTGCAACTTGGGCGACGAGACAAAGAAACGGGTCCTACGCGAGATGACACAGAGCCCTTACGCCTTCGTCTACACGGGCCCCCACCGCGGCACGCCATGCTGGAAGCCAGGGCGCTTGCGCGCGACCTTGCGCGGGCAGCTCATGCGCGAATGTCGGCGCAGACGACCCTGTGTTTGTTGCGTCGCTCACTTTACTTGCTTCGATTTCGAAGGCGGGCCTCCCCGTTGCCCCCCGCAAGACCTCATCTGACCGCCGAGCCCCTCCCAGCGGCGGCGCACTGGAGGGGACGAGGGAGGTGGCCTCCCGAGAGGGCACGGAGGCTGAGGGCACCTTGGTTCCTTCGGGGGTGGGCATGTTCCCTTGACCGGCGGCGAGCGAGGGGGGAAGTGAGAAGGATAAACCTTCTTAGAAAACGGCGGGACTTCTCACAGGCTTTCCGCGTCTTCAGGGAAGGCTTAGAAAACTTCTCGGAAGGCTGGGGGACTTCTGAGCTCTGCAGAGGCCTCCTAGATGGGGTCCGAGCAGATGGGGTCGGGAGATCGCGCCGCATCGCCGACACATCGGCGATGCATCGCCGACGAATCGGCGACGCATCCGCGACGTCGACGACGTATCGGTGCCGTTGGAATGGAGAGAACCAGGCTCCACATCGAGCGCATCGCCGATGCATCGGCGATGTGGCGCGATCCTCCGACCACATCTACCCGCACCCCATCTGGGAGGCCTAGATTCTGGGAAGGCCCGTTCCTTCTCACTTCCCTCCCGGGCTCGCCGCCGATTTGGGGCGGGGGGGGGCGCACAATACCTTGGAGGAGGTGTGCGCCGACCCAGGCTTCAGACGAGATGCTTGCTTTAATCCGACAGCTTGGAATCGATTCTGGCCTCTGGGGCCCGCTGTTGTATCTCATAAGGGGCCGAATTCTATACACTGACGCCATTTTGCAGCCCCGCACTCAAGTTCGCACATGAAAACTGATCCTGGTGTATATGGGATAATGGTGTATACATGTTATGTTGTTTCCCCTGCGAAAGCGGGGAAACATGGATACACCACATCACCCCGACGTCGCCCCCGACCCTCAAAAACTCCTGGGATTGAAAAACAGCCTGCCACTGGTAATGTATATGCTCCAACCTCCGAGCAAAAATCACACCGTCGGATTTCAGGAAGGGGCAACGGTAACGGCGGCTGTGACGTGGTAGCGCCGCAGACTGCCTGACCCTCGTAACACCACGTGGTGCCTGCGACCAGGACACCGTGCATGCACGGTCTGCGAGCTCAGCGGCGTGCTCTCGAGCGCCAAACATCAGATCTTTGGGAACCTTAGCTGCCCCGATACGCAACACGGAACACGTATCGTACCGATACGGAGCTCAACACGTAGACCGAAAACGGAGGTCTGACGCGCCACGTTCGCAAAGACGTGGGCCAATACGTGGAGCCAACACGCAACGTATTGACACAGAACTTTTGAGCACGGTACTTGTTGCGCTTCAAAGTGGGCGTATCGAGGCAACCAAAGTTGGAACTTTGCATCTCGGGTCGCTCTTTGAGTGAAGGGGCCCTGGGACACAAACATGTATAGACACACATAACAGGATCCCCCACATGTTCCCATATGTTCTGGGTTTTGTCTTCCCCACACTTCCCATATTTTCCTATATTTTCTGGGGACTCGACGATTCATTGTGTCTGTGTTTTTTTGTGCCCGCATGATTGAGGGACGCCATGCCCGGGAGGGGCCGCGAGAGGCCATGGATCGGCGAGAAGCCGCGCGCCCTTGTTCTCCACTCCGGGTCGCCTCCCCCAACCGACTGCACACGCAGGAGTGACCCTATAGGCGAGAGTGACCTCTGTCGGGGGCGCGCAAACATGGATGAGCGATCCATGGATTTGGCGCGCGGCCGCCAAGTCCATGGAGAGGGGGAGGTGCCCTCCCCAGGATGCGGCCGGTGCCGCCTCGCTCGGCGGCGGAAATCCGCGACTTCCCACGGAAACGGGGCCCGTCGCTGATCCACGCCCCCTTACAGGACAGCTTCTCATACATAGGAATTTTAAGAATATATGATGTTTAACACATGATCTAGTCATAAAAAGGCATGAACTCATAGTTGTTTATGATTCTAAATCCCTGCATTCAACACATGATCCGCACGCGGAGCATGTATTAAAAACGGCACTGTAATCCATGCTTGCGATCGCCGGACTTTGGTGCGCGGCTTCGGGGGGGCACGGCAGGGGGCCAAACACACGCGCGCAAAACGCTGCTGTCGCACCGCGATCGGCGATCGGGGGGCTCCACCTGGGCCCGCACCAAAAAGGTCCTTCTGGCGAAGGGCCGCTCTTGCGTGCAGCCGACATTTCTCCTGAGGCTAACAGCCCCGCCGTCCTGCCGGCTCCGCCGGGGCGCGCCGCTCCCCCGCCACCCCAGACAGAGTCGTCGCCGCCCCGGCCGATCGCCGCGGCCGCCGTCCTCGTCGCCGTCGTCCTCGTCGCCGGCCACGTCGGCGTCTCGCCACCGTCGCCGCTTCGACGGCACGATCGCTGGCGTCTGCGCCGCCGGCGCCGGCGCGACCGCCCGCGCAGTCGTCGGCGTCGGTGTCGTCGTGGCTCGGGCGGGCGCCGCGGCTCCTGACGCCGCGCACGACACGCCCGACACCACGCCGGGCCTGTCGGGCGCGGCGCGGGCCCTATACCCCCGCCGCGAGGAGCACAAGAACGGAGGACGAGTTCTCGGCCAGTGTCCGTCCCCAGGGGGCATTCGGCCGACGGCGGCCACGTGCGTCACGAAAGAGAGGGGGTTCGGAGTCGGAGGAGAGGGGCGGAGGTGGTCGTGGAGCCTAAAGGTCACCAGGAGGAGCGGCGGGAAGGAGGGGGAAAGGCGGGAAGGGAGGGGGAGGCAGGAGCTGGAGGCTCCCGGTTTCCAGGAGGAGGCTCACGGAGGGAGGCGGGAGGCTGGAGGAGTTCGGGGAGGATGAGGCATGAGGAGGGGGGGAAGGGGGGCAGAGGAGAGGGAGAAGAACAGGCTCGAAGATGGAAGAGGGGACTCGAAGGGCAGAGAGATAGAGAGCAATAGATATATATATATATATAGAGAGAGAGAGAGAGAGATGATGAAGAGAGAGACGCAGCCGCATCAAGAGGAGACCCAAGCCCAAGGAGGACGAGGGAGAATCAGGACGACGGCGAGGAGGATACGTAACGAACACTATTCACGGCTCAGAGAAATGAGCTCTCTATCACCGAGCTCGGCTGGCGTGCCCCGTTGCAGTCTGGGTCATGGCCCTGCCCCATCCTCCCCATCCTCACAATCTCGCTCGTCCTCCTCCTCCTCCTTCTCCTCCTCCTCCTGTTCCTCCTCCTCCTCCATCTCCTCCTCCTCCTCCTCCAGCGCCTCCTCCACCCCATTCCCTACCCTCCTGCCCAGTCGCCCCCTCACACTATTCCTCATCCTAGGCGGTTGTGGGAATGGCGCCACCCAACCGCGAATCGAGTTTTCTGATGTCGCTCACGGAACAATGGCCTGAGGGATGGCGCCGCTTCTTTCGTCGGCTTCCCACTCCGCACACATTGGGAAGTTGATCAGATCAGCCGAATTCAGCCGAATCCTCCTTCTCCTCTATCGTTACCCTGCTCCATCTGAGGACGCTTCTTTTTCAAAGTGTGGCTCTCGCTTGGGACTTCGACAGTTTGTATGACCACGTGCCTCAAATGGAATCCCATCAGCCCTCTGGGCGTGAGTGGCTTACCGCGCTGCCTCCTGCAATTCCCCTCCTACCCCTTCGGGGACGGGTTCAGCCCTCCCCCGACCCTCTCCCCTGGACCTGGATGGCGGGGGGGGGAGCGGCGGCCGGTTGGAGCGTCCAAGGCGGCCTCGGCGAGAAAGCACAGGTCGAGGATGCTGCTTACTTAGGGATTGGACTCGTCGGGGGGGCTAATTTCAAGTCGGGCCTGCCCCTCTACCGCAGGGATGTTCAAAAATGATCCAAACATAGTCTGGGGACTGTGTCTTGACTGTGCTTAACTGTAATTCACCATTTTTGGAATACTTCTTTAAAATTGTTTCGCCCAAAATCCCCCTGTAGGGGGACACGCCCGACTTAAGGCTAAATCAATTTCCCCATTTCTTTGTCCGATCTGATCCAAGATGGCTTCAAGATGGCCCCCAAGGTTTCAAAGAGTGCCCCCAGGAGGCCCCAAGAGCTTCGCTCGTCTTGAATATGCCCTGGGCATGTTGTTATACCGTTTGTAACTCGGCGTCTGGAGAATCCTTTGATTCGCGCTATTCTCGGCTACACGCAAAGAGTGACCTTGGGTAAGAGTGACCTTTGGTGCGCGGCTTTTGGGGGACCGCGGGGGGCCAAACTCAGAAGACGCTACTATCGCATCGCAATCAGTGGCCGGGGGACACCATTGTGCCCGCACCAGAGGTCACTCCGGCGAAAAGTCACTCTTACATGTAGTCGATTTTCGGTCTCAAAAAACAACTAGCACCATTAAGTCAAGATCAGTTGATTGCGTTGCTTACCGCTGTTGCTATGTACGACGTCCTCAACTCCTGCTCCTTGCGTCTAGTCCTTCCTCTGAATGATTTTTGCTCTTCTCCCGCCGATACTGCTGGCTGGTCGCAGGGTCTCCGGGCCTGTTTCGCGCCTGTACTCCAAATCCCTTATTAATCGACCCCCCCTAGTAAACCGGACCCCCCTCCAAATGCGACCTAATATTCCGGACACCCCTCTTCGACGGGGCGCCTTGATAAACCGGACCCCCTAAGCTCCAATCCATAGAAAGCGCCCTAATAAACTGGACCCCCCCAGTTACCAAAAAGGCGCCTTAAAAAACTGGACCCGAGGGATGATACAAGAAAGGATTTGGAATATCAGATTGGTGTTGGGGCGTTGCTGTTGCGCTGTTAGCTCTGCGCGCGGAGCGGGAGGAGCGGGAGGGAGCAGGAGTGGGAGAGAGGGAGCGAAGACGGCAGGGAAGACAAGAAGCAGCCTTCGGCAAGGAATCAAAAGAACGCTGGAGCATGATGATCCACACCGACGGGCTCGTTGCTTTCGCGTTTTCAACATGTTAAAATCCCAACACAATCCCAACACATGCAAAACGGAGAACCCCAAAAAGGCAAACAAGCCTGTCCAGGGCGTCTTTTAGGTGGATCGGGCCCAAGAGGCCCCCAAGAGGTCCCCAGGAGGCCCGCAAGAGACCCCCAAGAGGCTCACCCAAGACGCTCCAAGGAGTCCACGGGACCGCCAAGAGGCCCCCAAGACGCCCCTAGAGGACTCCAAGCTCTCAAAAGACATCCGAAGAGATTCCGAGAGGCATCCAAGAAGCCTCTGAGCTTTCTGCTCGCCATCCTCCTCCTCCTCCTCCTCCTCTTCCTACTTCTCCTCCTCCCTCCGCTCTCTTCCCCCCCTCCCCGCCCTCGTCATTTCTCATTATCCACCTCCGATTCCTCCTGCATGCTCCCACTCTTGGGGTACGACGGCTTCCCCAACCACCTCTTCCACTTCGAGCTCCTCCACATCCCTGACCAGGGCAACTCGCCTGGGCATCTTTTCTGGATGTGCTGGTGGGGTTACTTTTTTGATCGCGAGCGCACTGGAGGACGCCAGGCGCCGTCGAGGTCGCAGCAAGCAAGCTACGAGCTAATTGCGCCAATGGGAAGGAAGGGGGCCGGGGAGGGAACAGCGGGGAGCTGGTGGGGTTACGCGAAGAGTCTAGAATAACAAATGCATTGATGGAGAGCGGCCACTTTTCAAAGCGGGGCTGCCCGAAGCCACTTCCTTAAACTTTCTGACCAGTTTTCCTGCAAAAAGGGGCTCCCGCCTGAATTGCGGCCCGTGGAGCGAACGCCTTTCGATGGGGCTCCTCGCAGTGGCAGAACATGCCTGCATGGGACAAAGCAGAAGAGGGGACTTTGGACGGGAGGGTGTTTTGCAGCATCGTTGATTGCTCGACGTTGCCCAAGGCCAGCGTGCGCCAATGCGGCCATGGCTATCGCGCGGGCGCGCGCGCGGCAGACAACGAATATCTACGTAAGCAAGACTTGGAACGGGAGGAGGGGCGGAGGGAGGAGGGGGAGGAATGAAGAAATGGGGGGGGAGTGATGGGCGAGAAAAGGGGGGAAGAGGAAGAGGGGCCTCCCCTCTCTGTCGCCCTCTTCCTTCCACCCTTGCTGGTCTTGGGGAACATGTCCTCCTCCTCCTCATCCCTCCCCCTGTTTCCCCTTCCCATCTCGCTTCTAGTCGTTGTCGTCGTCGTCGTCGTCGTCGTTGGCGTCGTCGTCCCCTCCCCCTCCCCCCTCCTTCTCCTCCCCCTCCTCCTCCTCCTCTTCTCTTCCTCCTTCCCCCTCCTCCTCCTCCTCCTCCTCCTCCTCCCCTCCTTTTCCTCATCCTCTCCTCTCCCTCGATCGCCAAGACCCCCCCCTCCTCTTCTGCCACTGCCACCGGCGCGGCGGCGACGAAGATGACGCCGCCAACGACTGCGACGAAGGACGTTGCCGAACGCCGACGGCCACGACGCCACTGCCGACCGACGGCGCCGATCGCCGCCGCCGACTTGCGGCAGCGGCGATGACCGATCCCAGACATCCGCCGATTTGCCTTCGTCTGGACACGTTCCCCTTGGGCGTCGCTTAATGGGGGGGCTATGAGTTTGGGGGGGGGAATGGTTCACTTCTCGGGCCCCAGAGGCCCCCTCGTGGGCCCCAAATGGCCCTAACTCGCTGACCCCCCATCCATTTATCGCCTTCTCATTACGCAACGCCCACTCCCCAGGGGTAGCGGTAACTTCGGATTCTGGACCCATTATTGACGGCTCTGGGGCCTGAGGGCGGGCCCCAGAAGCCAACATCGAGGAACAGCGCTCGCATTGCGAAAGTGGCAGCGTCGGAGGTCTGGGATTCCGCCGCCGACCAACTACGCCGCAATCGGACCCCTCCTGGGATCTGCACGCATCAGCTACCCGAGCTGCGTCCAGCCGTGGCGACGATGGGGCACACCGAAGGTCAACTACCGTTGTCTCAACTCGCCTTCCTCTGCGACGCGGAGAGGGGGAAACGATAAGCTACCCACACTATACCGTTGCTACAAAGGCCCCTTCTGGGGTGCGTTTTGACCAGAATTTCGATGCGAGTCCAGCCGTGACAACGATGGCCTCATAGGGGGCCCAGCACGGAGAAAAGAGGTAAGGGTATACAAGCTTGGCAACACACCCTTTAGCAACACGCCCTTTTGTGACAGCTGCCAGGAACACTCACTCCAAGTGGGCCACAGCGGGGTAGCTAACCGACGTCGAAGAACAACCTAATGGCTTCTGCGAAACGCACGCCGATTCGCAAAACCCACTAGGGACTGCACAGACGCACTCGAATGCAAACGCCGAGCGAACTGGTGCAGATTTCCTCAGTCGACTTGACTGGGGGGCGTTCTCTCAATGCCCAAGGCTGATGATGAGGAGGGCGATGGTGATGCTGCTGCTAATGCTGATGATCGTTGATGCTGGTGCTGCTGATGAGGATGGTGATGACGACGTGTGTGCTGCAGACCAACGCCTCATCACAGTGGTTTGTCTGCGAACTGAACGGGGATCATCATCATCATCATCATCATCATCAGCATCATCATCATCATCATCCTCATCATCATCATCATCAGCATCATCATCATCATAATCAGCATAATCAGCATCAGCATCAGCATCAGCAGCAACACCATTACCGATACCACCCCACCCTCATCACCAAGATCATCAACATCACAGCCGCCATCACCACCATCACCACCAACACTATGACCATCATCACCATCATCACAACCAGAGCATCATCAACAGTATCAGCATCACCACCATCATCATATTCATCCTCGCCGCCACTATGATGACGATTATGATGATGCTGATGATGCTGATGGTGATGATGATGATGATGATGATCATCATCATCATCATCATCATCATCATCAGCATCAGCATCAGCATCAGCATCAGCATCAGCATCAGCATCATCATCATCATCATCATCATCATCATCATCATCATCATCATCACCATCATCACCAAAGCCCTCACCATCATCACCACCACCGCTATCGGTATCTGGGGAAACCAGAAGGTACCGACACCGCTACTCCCCGGACCTCTCCCGTGGTGCGTTCTGACCAGGCTTCCGAGGCGAATCCTGCTGTGGCGACGAGGGCCTCCCAGGAGGCCGAACGAGGGGAAAACGGCCGCAGGGTAGCGACATGGGGACCTCTTCCTCCTCTGAGCATCGGTCGCGGTACCTGCTCCTCCTCTAGACGAGCGCGCTCCACTACTTGCAACGTGACTACTCGCAAATGGCCCGCACCCGCGGGGGAGGGGGATCTACGAGAAACCACACCAGAGCAGACGCGTGCCTTTCGGACGCTCGCGAATAGGCACCTTGCGAGTCGCGGCACGCGCCCGGTGCTCCTCCCACAGCCCGCGGCGCCGCCGCCGGGCGGCGGGCGCAGCCCGCCTCGGCACGGCCGGCAGCTGCAGCAGCCCCCGTGCCGGCGGCCCGCCGCCGAGCTGCGGCTCGCCGCCGGCCTGCCGGCGCCGCCGGCCGAGGAGGAGGCCCGCGGAGCTGCGCGGGGGCCAGGGGCGGGCTCGGCGGCAACCCACGGTGGGCCTCCCCATCCCAGGAGGAGGGGGAGGAGGAGGAGGAGGAGGAGGAGGAGGAGGAGGAGGAGGAGGAGGAGGAGGAGGAGGAGGAGGAGGAGAAGGAGGAGGAGGAGGAGGAGGAGGAGGAGGAGAGGAGGAGGAGGAGGAGGAGGAGGAGGAGGCGGAGGAGGAGGAGGAGGAGGAGGAGGAGGAGGAGGAGGAGGAGGAGGAGAGGAGGAGGAGGAGGAGGAGGAGGAGGAGGAGGAGGAGGAGGAGGAGGAGGAGGAGGGGGCCTCCCCTACCATCTTGTCGGCTCTTGCGGATCGACGCTAGATCGACGCTAGACTGACGCTAGATCGGCGCTAATCGACGCTAGCCGACGCTGCATCGGCGCTACCTCATCCACTCCCAGACGCCAATCGACGCCAAATCGACGCTACAGACGGAATTAAGAGGGTATCGCAGGTTCTCAGAATTTGCTGCCGAACTCGGGGCTGAGCTCTCCGTAGGACGGAGCCAGGACGAGGATGCCATCGGGGGAGAACGAATCCCGAAGCTCTTAGATCCGGCGGCCCTGGCGGATGCCTCGGGCGCCGCGGCCTGCTCCGAGCGTTTCGCAACGCTCTGAGAACGCCTTGGAACGCTCTGAGAACGGGTCTGTCCGGGGAACACACACACACAGTCTGTGGGGAAAACACACAGTGGGGAAAAACACACACAGTGTGTTTTTGTTCCCCACAGTGTGTTTTTTTTCCCACAGTGTGTGTGTGTTTTCCCCACAGTGTGTTGTCTCGTCCTCGTCCTAGCCCCGCCCGGCTCCGTGGCCCGACCTCCGCGCAGCTGCCCAGCGTCACGCACCGCGCGGCACGTGGCGCCCTGCAGGCGGAGCTCCACGCGCCGGCCGAGGACGCAGCTCGGGCGCGCTCTGAAGGGGCAGCTGCTGGGAGGCCGTCGTCGGAGCGATTGATCCTCGTCCTCGCCGCGCCCGGCATCCAGAAAAGGGGACCCCAGAGGCCGAAGATGGCCAAGGAGCCCCTCGTCATGTTTTTTGTTTCTTCTTGTTCCTCGGCGCGGCGCGAGGAGGCCTGGGTCCTCCCACTGGAGAGAGGTCTCCTCTCAAAGAAGAAGCGGACGAGGACACGATCGAGGGATCCCCGCCCAAGAGCGCGATGCGGGATTTACCCGGGGAGCGCCAGCACACTCTGGACCCGTTCGTCGCGGCACATACGGTGTGCGAGGCGGGGGTCGGGCAGCGTTTTTTGTTGTGTACAAGGTTTTTCTCTCAACAAAAAGAAAAGCATAACAAGTAAACAAAACAACCTAACACACCATATCAGACAACAGCCCCAGCGTGTTGGGTGGGGAGGCGGTGTGTGTGTGTGTGTGTGTGGCCTCTCGACGGCCTCCTGGAGAGCGCCTTGGGGGTGGCTTCCTGGTGGCGTTCCTCCCACTCTTCGGCTGGAGGTGGTGCCTCTCCGACTCTTCATCTGGACCCCTCCTCGCCGCAGCGCCTGCGCGGCACGAAAAGCAGGTTGGCTCAGGCACGGCACGCCCGATGCGGGGGAGGCAGCAAAGGCAGGGGAGGCAGGGGTCAGGGAGGAAAGGGATCAGTCCCTCTCGATCCTCCTCGATCCTCCTTCGATCTGTCCTCCTCCTCTTCCTTCTCCTCCTCCTCCTCGATCCTCCTCGGTCCCTCCTCGGCTCGAAAGGCGGGTGCGGCAGAAACAGGTCACGGGAGGCAGGGGTGAGGGAGGGAGCGGAGCAACCATTCTCGATCCGACTCGCTCCTCCCTCGATCCATTATCCTCTTCATCCTTCTCCTTTCTCCGTCTATTCCTCATCCTCCTCCTTCTCCTCGATACTTCTCTGACCTCCTCGGTCCCTCCTCGATCCCTGCTCGATCCTTCCTCTTCCTCCTCCTCCTCCTCCTCCTCCTCCTCCTCCTCCGCGGTCTTCCTCCATCCTACTCCCTCCTTGTTTTTTTTTACGCTGCACGGACAGGGATCTGGGAGTTGCGTTCTAATCTCCCTTCTCCTTCTCCTTCTCCTCCCCCTCTTACTCCTCCTCCTCCTCCTCCTCCTCCTCATCCTCCTCCTCCTCCTCCTCCTCCTCCTCCTCCTCCTCATCCTCATCCTCATCCTCATCCTCATCCTCATCCTCATCCTCATCCTCATCCTCATCCTCTTCCTCCTCCCCCCCTCCTCCTCCTCCTCCTCCTCCTCCTCGCCCTCCCCCTCCCTCCTCCTCTCCTCTCCTCCCTCCTCCCTCCTCCTCCTCCTCCTCTCCTCCTCCTCTCCTCCTCCTCCTCTCCCTCCTTCGCCTCCGCCTCCGCCTCCTCCTCCTCCTCCTTCTCCTCCTCCTCCTCCTCCTCCTCCTCCTCCTCCTCCTCCTCCTCCTCCTGGGGCGCGTCTACTCCCCGCCCCCTCAGGTCCCCTCCTATGCTGGCACGGCCGCTGGAGGCCGGGCGTTCCCCCCCCCGCCCCACGCGGCCTTCAGCAAGCAGCCCACGCTGGCGCCCCACGTCCAGGCCTCGGGAGGGGGGGGTCTTGGCAATCGAGGGGGAGGAGGAGGAGGAGGAGGCGGAGGAGGAAGAGGAGGAGGAGGAGGAGGAGAAGGAGGAGGAGGAGGAGGAGGAGGAGGGGGAGGGGGGGTAGGAGGAGGAGAAGGAGGAGGGGGAGGAGGAGGAGAAGGAGGAAGGATCGAGGAGGGACCGATGAAGATCGAGGAGGAGGAGGCGGAGGAGGAGGAGGAGGAGGAGGAGGAGCAGGAGGGAGGGATTGAGGGGGGATGGAGGAGGGGCGGCAGGGTCGGGCAAGGGATCGCGGTCCCCAGCCCCCCTCGCGGCATGGAGCAAAGACACGGCTGGATGTTCGGCCTCCAACGTCCCGATCTGGGTCCTGGGACTCGGGATGAAAAGCCGGTCCTGGGGGCTGGGTCGAGACCTCCGGTGGGGTGTCCGGGGCGGGGGGTTGGCGGGAGGACGGAGGTGGCGGAGCGGGCGAGGCAGAACGGGAAGAGCCTGAGCAGACGAGGGAGCAGCAGGAACCCTGATCATTTGATACTAAGACTGGAACTTTCCAGTCGCGACTGACGAGATAGGTCTCTGCAGATTTGGCTTCAAACTTCGGTATCGGTCGTGACCGACTTGCTTCAAAATCGGTCGCGATCGGTCGCGACCGATTTGGGGAGCCGATCGGTCGCGACCGATCGCGACCCCCAAAACCGGTATCCAATGATCTGGGAAGGGGGTGGGGCGGAAGGGTCAGGCCCCGAGGGGGCTGAGGGTTAAGGCGGGCAGAGGGGTGGGCGGCGGAGAGACGGAGGGAGAGGGCGAGAGGAGGCGGAGGAGAGGCGGCGGAGACACGGAGGGAGAGGGCGAGAGGAGGCGGAGGAGAGGCGAAGGACGACGACGACGACGACGACGACGGCGACGACGACGACGACGACGACGACGGCGACAAAGGCGACGACAGCGGCGACGACCACGACGACGACGATGGCGGCGGCAGCGGCGGCGGCGAGGCGGGCCGGCGGCGGAGACGGGGCGGGGATGGGGCGGGCGCCACGCAGTGCCGGCCGGTCTCGCACTCCTGGGCGCCAGGGGCGGGGCGGAGGGCGAGGGAGCGCGAGGGAGTGTTCGGTGGGCTTTTTTCCACCACCACCACCATAAGTAGGAGGGTCCTCCTCCGCCTCCTCCTCCTCCTCATCCTACACCTCTTTCCCCCCCTCCAACTTATGGTGGTGGTGGTGGAAAACAGGCCCATCAGTGTTAGAAGGCAACTCCTATAGTGGGCCCTGGAAACAACAGGGCCGTTTTTTGTTACCAGCTCCGTTCTGCAGGTCTTGTGGGTCGTTCCGACCCCCCGTGTTTGTTGCTGGTTCTGTCGCCGTTTCTTTTCCCCGGTTCCGGCTCCAACTCCAATCCTGGAGCCGTTTTTTGTTGCCGCTTGCGGTCATTTTTCTGTGCTGTTTCCATTCTCGAGAAACGCTTTTGCGGAAACGGTGAAGAGACGGCCCTGCCGTTTCCTGGGCCCCACTAAGGGGGCAGCTCCCAGTAAGTCTTTGTCGCAGCGCTGGGATATGCCATGGTCATTCTTTCCAGCAGTTGACTGAAGGTGCTGAGGCGGAGAGGCCTGGCGACTGCGAAACAAGAACTGCACATACGGATTATTACAAGCCGGTGTAGATACGTGTTCGCCATGCGTTTGTGTCATCTTCGCTCGGGATTCGAGCGCACTTGCATATAAGCCGAGGGCTGCAGTGAAGCAATAGGTCATATTCTTCTTTGAGGGACCGCGGGGGAGTGTCAGGAGGCAACTCCTGAGAGGTCTTCGTCAGAAGGATTAAAGCCTATCGCGGCCGAGTAATAAGGAGCCATCAAGCCAAAGAAGGCCGAATTCGGCACAAGATTAGCCAGTTGAAGCGGAATTTGGCGGGGCGGGTTTAGGCCCCATTCGTACTGGCTTCCGTGCACGAATATGCAAGTGACGATGCTGAGTTTCAGCTCCCAGGAGTTGCATCCGAAGGTGTGGCGGCGGGCAGGGCGGGTCAATGGAGAAACCGAAACCGAAACAGGGACCCACCCCTGGGTGGTGGCACGCCCGAGCGTATCGCGGTACTGGACGTCGCTCGAGCGTGCCGCCGCCCAGGGGTGGGTCCCCCCCCGACGGGTCCTCGGTGCCCGTGGTCGCTGGTTCTCCTCTGAGTGGTGGGGGAGGGGACGAGCAGGAGGTCTTGACCTCGTGGTTCGCGCACCTCGGCAGTTCTGGTGCTTTTCCAACCTCGGGGTGCTTCCCAGCAGCTGCGCCTCGCCGAGAGCACTCCGGGAGTGACAGGATCGTCCCGATCGGCCGCCAGGGGCCGGGGCCAGGACTCGAAAGCCAGGCGCGCGAGGGGGGTGGCCGTCTGAGGAGGCGGCGGGCTTCTCAAGAGGGCGGGGCCTCCCTTGGAAAAGCTTCGGGGCTTCTGCGAGGCCGGCTTGGACTCCGGGTTCGCACATCAGAGCCAGCTGACTTCCGAGAAGCCCCCCGCCTTCTTGGAAGGCCGCCCCCCCTGTCGTGCTTCAGGCGGCGCGAGCCAGGGAGGAAGGGGGGGAGGAATCCTGAGAACTCCAACGTCGCAAAAAAACAGCACTGTGACGGATCACGACCTGAGCCCTCGACTCCATAATCTGTCTGCGGCGCTTCTCGACCGTGACCTTCCGGGGAAGCTTTTTGCTGGTTGGAGAGTCCGCCCTTCTGGTTGGCAAGAGCTGTGTTCTGGTTGTGGAGAAACGTACGCGCGACCCAGCAGTGCTGGCCCAGACACGCAGGCCCGTCACCGGAGCGGCGAGCCCAAGCACCCCGGCGCAGGCGGCCAGACAGATTCACACGGCGAGGCTTCATGCAAACTCCCAAGCAACAAGTCATGACACTCCCGTGCCCCTGGCATCCGGAGCTCGCATGACACCATGCTCCTAAACGTGTGCTAAGACAGCCACGATCCCGAGTCCCATGCGATCGAGCCAATAATGGCCCTGGGTTCAGGCAGGCTTTCTGCCCCCAACGCTGACAAGACACATCCTCGTCCCGCTTCACCGAAAGTGTGTGTGTGTGTGTCCTGTCGCTGCACGCTTGACTGACTCCACCGCGTCGCTGCACGTGGGGCCGCGACTCCCAACAACGTGTGCGTGCGTGTGAGTTCGTGTGTGTATTTGCGTGCGTGCGTGCTCGCGCGCGTGTGTGTGGTGTGTGTGTGTGTGTTTTGCTCCTTCCCGAAGCGAGAACCACTCGGAACAACAAAGCAAGGGCAGGGCGATGGCGTCGCCCGCGCGGGCAGACCTATAAGGCGGGACGAACCCCATCCTTGGCACGCCAACGCTCCCACTCCAACTCGCGCCCCTCAGACGAGGGACCCGCGCAGGCAAACCTGTAGGGCCGGACGAACCACATCCTTGGCACGCCAACGCCCCCACGCCAACTCACGCCCCTCAGACGAGGCACCCGCGCCGGCAAACCTGTAGGGCGGGTATTCCCCACGCCAACTCACGCCCCTCAGACGAGGCACCCTCGCCGGCAAGCCTGTAGGGCGGGACGGGCCCCAACCGTTGAAGTTGGCACACCAGCACCCCCACGCCAGCACGCCACGCCCGACTTATCTAGGATAACTGCTGTCCGGGGTAACTCCAGTTTGGGCCCCCGAGATGCGAGTCTGTAGCTATCCCTGACCGCCCCCAGCCCTGATGATTCGGGAGGGCTGGGCGCCCGAGTTCTCCGCGACAACTGCGGTCCGGGGTATCTCCGGCTTGAGCCCCCGAGGCGCGAATCAGTGCAGCTATCCCTGACCGCCCCCAGCTCTGATTCGGGGCTCTGACCAACCCACGCCCCGTCCGAACTCCGAACTCGGGAAACCACTAGGTACCAATACCGCTACCCCCCGGACCTCTCCCAGGGTGGGTTCTGACCAGAACTTCAAGGCGAATCCAGCGGTGGCGCTGAGGGCCTCCCAGGAGGCCCCAAACGAGGGAAAACGAGGGAAAGGTCGCGGTATGGTTGCCTTTTCCTGCTCCGACGAAGGAGGCACCGGCACCGCGGGCGGACTGCCTGGGCCGTTGCGTTCTGACGATCCTGCATTGTGCCAGAACGCCGCTCCTGGGACTGGACCACCGCGAGGAGAGAGGAGGGAGGAGGGAGGGGAGGGAGGAGGGAGGAGGGAGGAGGGAGGGAGGAGGATGAGGGAGGGGAGGGAGGAGGGAGGAGGGAGGGAGGGAGGGGAGGGAGGAGGAGGGAGGAGGGAGGAGGGAGGAGGGAGGGAGGGCCGGAGGGAGGAGGGCCGGCAGCGGCGGGGCTCCTCCCGGCACGCGTCGGCGCCCGTGACGAAGGTCGCCCTCGTGGTGCTCGCCTGCCGCGACGCTTTGGGGGCGCCGCTCGGGCCGCCCACGGGCCCTGATTGCTGCCCTGCCCGCCCTCCCCTGATCATTGGATGCTCGGACCTCACGGACAAGGATGAGGAGGGGGAGGAGGAGGAGGGAGGAGGAGAGGAGGATGAGGATGATAGGAATGACGACGATGATGATGATGATGATGAATGCTGATGATGACGATGATGATGATGATGATGATGATGATGATGATGATATGATGATGATGAGATGATGATGATGATGATGATGATGATGATGATGATGATGATGATGATGATGAGATGATGATGATGATGATGATGGATGATAGGAGGAGGAGGAGGAGGAGGAGGAGGAGGAGGAGGAGGAGGAGGAGGGGGGGGAGGAGGGGGGGGGAGGAGGAGGAAGAGGCGGAGGAGGAGGAGGAGCAGCAGGAGGAGGAGGAGGAGGAGGAGGAGAAGGACAAAGAGGAGGAGGAGGAGGAGGAGGAGGAGGAGGAGGAGGAGGAGGGCCCTCTGGGGCCGTTCCGAACCCGGCCCCTGCTGCGACGCTGGGCCCCCATGGGGAAAACAGGGTCGGCCACTGAGAGGGCCCACGCCGTGAAACGTCGCGACGACGTCGGGGGTCTCTGGGACGGCAGGGGGGCACGGCACCGGCTCGGGGGGGGAGGGACCTCGAGCTGGAGTCGGCGATGCTGGGGAACCGAAATCTATACACCAACGCTTTTTTCCGGCCCTGCGCTGAAACGCTCACAAGAAAGCGGATCCTGGTGCACATGGGGTCCTTGTGTATACATGTTTCGTTGCTTCCCTTGGGGAAACGCGGGAAAAGTGTACACTACGTGGTGGAAAACAGGCCAATCAGTGACGGTCCAGGGCCTGGCGAGAACTCGAAGGGACTGAACATAGCAGAACAGCCCCTCCCGCAACATGATTTTTTTCACGACGTGTGGGGGTGTCTGGGGCCCAGGGTGCCCCCGAGATGTCCCGGAAGACCCAGGTGCCAGCCGGGTAGCCAGGCCCCTGGGCAGGAGGAGCCAAATAATCGAATACACCTGGATTTTCCGGTCGCGATCGGTACTGGCCGATCGGCACTCAGAATCGGTTGCGACCGATCGCGACCAACGCCCAAATCCGTCGCGACCGATTGTGAAGCCCATCGGTCGCGACCACAACCAGAATTGGGAGCCCCATCGGTAGCGACCGACTTTGTTGGGAGTGGCCATCTTTGGCGGCGAGCGAGGGGGGTAAGTGAGAAGGAGAAGGCCCTCTCAGAAGTCGGCGGGGCTTCTCAGAAGCCCTCTGGCCTTCCGAAATGTTTTCTGTGTCTTCACGGAAAACTTAGAAAGCTTCTCAGAAAGCTGGGATATTTCCCCTCCAGGCTCGCCGCCGACAATGATCATGGTCTTAGCTGCCACGATACGCAACACGCAACACGCAGCGTATTGACACGGAGCTGAACACGTAGACCGAAAACGTACGTGAGGCGCGATACGATTACCCAAACGTGGGTCAATACGCTAAGCCAACACGTGACGTCATGACACGGACGCTTAGAGCACGGCACGTGATGCGTTTCAACACGGGCGTATCAGGGCAGCTAAGCTCCTGAGCTCTGAGAAGGCCCACCCCTTCACAACTCCTCCCCCGGCTCGCCGCCGACAATGCTCAGGGTGGGTGAGGAGGAGGAGGAGGCAGGAGACCCCAGGATCGAATCGATAAGTCGGATCGGCAATCGAAATGAATCGGATCGGCAGAAGTCGGCAGCCGAGTCGGGAGAAGTCGAGTCGGCGGACATCGGTAGGCTAGTAGGCCTCCATTGAGACACTGGAAGCCGAATCGAAGCAGAGTCGGAAGCCATCGAAATCGAAGCTGAACCGAACCGGAGGAGTCGAAACGAGCTCTGGGAGGAGGGGCGACAATGCCGATGATGGGTGTTGGGGGGGGGATGGCTTGCCATCCCTCGGACACCCGTTCCCCGTGCTTGGTTCGGCTTCGTGCGTTTTTGTTGTTTGCTTTCGTTTCTGCAAGATGATCCAGGATGCTCCTCGATGGTTCTCGCAAAGAGAAAACAGGCACGCCCGAGCGATACCAGGATGATCCAGGATGCTCCTCGATGGCTCTCGCAGAGAAGAATAAACACGCCCGAGCGATGCGGGGCCAACCGACCCGGCACTCCTATAGGCCTATACCACGACATGTACGTGGAATCGAAGCATGTTCTAAACACAAAAGCACGGTTCCTAGAACATGACCCCGATGCGTGAAAGCAAGACAGGCTCAGCCAGACATGTTCTAGGCTTCTGTTGCCCCCATCGCTCTTATAGACCGCGTCCCAGAAATAATTTCGAGCACCCGGAAACGTGTCGAAAGAGTGTCGAAGCAGTGTCGGACGAGCGTCTCCCAGGGCCCGACGCGCGAAAACCCGCGAGTTTCTGGTATTTTGTTCTGGTGCTCGAAAGTCCTTCTGGCGATCAAGGCTAAAGTAGGTTGGGACATCATAATGCCAGGCACGTCTCGTGCAGACCACGAGAAGATCTCAGAACAGTCCCTGGCGGGCCTATGGGCAAACCCAGGACGCTCCGCCGCTGCTCCGAGGCAGGCCTACCACGACATCTTCTTGGAAAGCAGAAGCGGTCTGTTCTAAGAACATGAATCCGATGGCTTTACATCAAGACAGGCTCGGCATGTTCTAAGCACGTCTCGTGCAGACCAAGAGAGGTTCTTAGGATATGCTCTGCTGGGCCTATGTCGGCCGTGGACAAACCTCCCTTTAGTAAACCTCCTCTTAGTGCAAACGGCCTGGGACCGAAACCGACGGACCTGGACCCGCAAAAACTGACGGCCGCGACGCCCTCTCGCGAACCGACAACGGCCAATTCCTGAACCGACGCGTCAGGGCAGGAGGTCTTCCAGCCTCCGGCTATGGGCAAACCCCGGGACGCTCCACCGCTGGTCCGACGGGGGCGGGGGCAGCGCCTCCCGGAAGAACTCCACGTTCTCCTCCGGAGGGCCGCCGGCGGGAGAGCGGCGCGGAGCGCGCGCGCCCAGCCCGGGGGGGGGGGGGGGCAGGGGCTCCGGGGGGGAGATCCTCCTCCTCCTCCTCCTGCTCCTCTTCCTCCTCCTCCTCCTCCTCCTTCGCTTCGCTTCGCATGATCCGCACAGCCAGGTCTGACTCGGGGCACGCCTTCTGAAGGCCACCTGTGACGCTTGAAATCGTCGGGCACCGCCGTGCGTGCCGAGACGCCTGCTCGGAACAGGCACGGTCGGAGCGCCCAGCCCGCACGGTCGGACACAACAACTGGCGAGGCCACGGCACTCTTTCTCGGCTCCTCATCCTCCTCCTCCTCCTGCTCCTCCCCCTTCCCCCCCCCCCGCTCCCGCCCAGAGTAGCTCCAACGCTCGGCGGCGCGGAACGCGCGCGCAAGCCGGGGGGTAGGGGGGGCAGGGGCCCGGGTTAAGTCGGGCCTGTCCCTCTACAAGAGGAGTACTCAAAAATGGAAGAAATACTCGGGGGACGATTAATTGACTATGTTTAAATCCTTTTTGACAATTTTTCCTGTTCGCCCAGAATCCGCCCGTAGGGGGACATCGGGGGGAGATCCCGACACGCTCCCGCCCTGAGTTGCTCCAACGCTCGGCGGCGGGCGCACAACTGGGGGGGGGGCCGTGGGAACAAGGAGAGGCGACAGCAGCACCACCAGGGCGAGGGGACGCGAGGAGGCAAGGGGGGTCTCCCTGGTGGCGTGGTGCCCCCCCCTCTCGCTCGAGGCATCCCCCGCCTCCAGCCCGGGGAGGCATCGTGGACCTCCTCGCTGGAGGTGGGCCCCCTGGTGGCGCTGGCGTCGCTTCTCCCCCCTCCGAGGTAGGCGGAGGGGGGGAAGGCTTCTTCGGAGGAGGCTGCTTCTCAGGAGGCGCGGTCTTTACCTCGATGGATAAGGCCCGCGCCTTCTGAGATTATGTCGGGCGTGTCCCCCTACAGGGGGATTTTCGACGAAAAATAAAAGATACTAAGATACCCCAAACATACCCCCAAAAGGTAGAAAACTATTCCAACAATAGTCCCCAGACTATTTTCTTGTATTGCTATTGTTTGATTATTTGTGGGGTATTTTTACTGTTCGTCGAAAATCCCCCTGTAGGGGGACAGGCCCGACTTAACTCTACCCCCCCTGTGCGTGGCCGAAGTGCATCGGAGATGCAGGGGACCCACAAGATCGAGATCTGTAGGAACGACGGGCGGCACGGACGCGAGAGCCTTCGGAGCCGAAATTGGCACTTTTGGGGCGGCGGACCGCCAACACCCAGAACAGCTGGCAAGTGAACACCGCTCAGGACGGGCCGCAGAGGCATGGACGCAAGGGTACCTCAGGACACCCATGCGCCCTTACGACGCATGTTGGCTATACGGTAGTACGTTGTCCCACAAAAACAACATGGGGCGCATTCTTTATCGATCTTCCGGGGTTCCCAGGGTGCCCCGGGAGCTTCTGGTGGTCCTGGGGACCATCGGGGATACGACACTTCCGTGAGGCACCTGCTGGCAGGCCAGTTTCTTCCTTGATGCGCCTCCAGCGGTAGGACGGAGGTCTTTCACCTTTCTCGCTCCCCTCGGGGTCGTCGCGCCGGGCCCGGGGACCGTCACTACGCCCGACTCGGGATGGAACGCTGGCCCTGGAGGGTCAGGTTTTCCGGGGGCCCCGTGTTGAAACATCAAAACTTAGGTCGGGCATGCCCCCCCATAGGCAGATTCCGGACGACAGAATCAAAACATAGCCCACCTATATCCGACATTCTTCCAACATCATCAAACGATCGTCACCGTACTACTGTGTGACTACTTTAAACACTCCTCCTGCAGAGGGACCTGCCCGAGCCAAATGAAGACGTTTGATCTGCGGGTCCGTCTCCTCCGCCCTCGGCCCGAAGACCGAAGCTCTGGGATGGCGAGGGGGGGGGCTTCTCGTCCGGCCTGCGGGAGGCTCCTCGTGGCCACGGCGGGGCTCCCCCTCTGGCCAGCACGCACCCCCGGGGCGTGCCCACGGGTGGGATGTCTGCCTTCGGGATCCCAGGAAACCTCCAAGGCAGGGACTAAAACAAACCAGTTTGTTGTCCTTCCGTCGGGAACCACACCTCCGATGCATGGACAAGGACAAAACCAATCTTTCGCTCTTCCGTCTCGGAAATCACGCCTCCAACGTGTGGAGGAAGACAAACCACTCGGTTGTTCTGTTGTTCACCAGCTTCGGCGAATGGAAAAATCCGTTCCACGCCATAGGGCCGGCAAAAGACGGGTTCCAGGAAGGGGTAGAGAGTTCCAGGGCCAGGGCATTGAGAGACTCGAGACGTCAATGTCTCCTCCTCCTGCTGCTCCTGCTCCCTGTGACTGCGATTGCCTGGCCCGGCCCCTTCTTCTGTTTTCTTGTCATATTCCGTCCTTCCCCTTTTCTTCGCTTCTCCTTCTCCCCCCCCGCTTCCCCTGTCACTCCGTGCTTTCTCCATGTTCCTTCTCCCTCCTCATGTTTCTTCGACCTGTTCCTCCTTCGCCTCATTATGTATCCGTTTCCTGTTCGTTGAAATCCATATTGCTGGCAGCATCTTCCCATCGTTGAAGTCCATCCGTGGGGTTGGTAGCGCGTGATAGATGCTTCGCCTGAGACTCCTCACCATGCATGGCCACGACGCACCAATTTCACAGCAGCTACACAGATTGAGGGTACACCGTATTCGATGTGTGATTCTCACCTGAACGCCGCCCACATTCGTCTCAGAATTACCAAACATGTTCAGGAATGGAAAGCGGCTTTCTTCACCACGGAGCCACTGGCTATCGACATGGGGTCGCGCACGCTCGTTAAAAACGCCTCAGAGTTAAATGATGTGGTTTGCACATGTGGCGTTCGCCTGGGCGCCGCGCGCATTCGTCTTGTCAGCTTCTACGAGCGACCTGCTTCTATCACTTAATGAATGGAAGGTGGGTGGTATCCAACACTTGGCTCTCGCATTGGGACCGCGAGCGTTCTTCACAACAACTTCCAACAACTGAAAAGATGCAAAACGCTCCCTCCCCCGGAAAAAAAAAACTATTCCGTGTCGGGCTTTTCTTGTACTGTCGAATGTCGAAATGTATCGAGGTGGACCCTTTGTCAAAAATAAGCTCCCGCTTGGGATCTCAGCGATCACGTAAAAATTACGACAGTGGGCTGAACATTTCATTGGCCTTTTTTTATGATGCTGTCCCGCGGAATTGCTTATAGCCGAAAAGATGCAAAAGGGGGGTCGTTATCAACAGTAGACTTTCGCTACGACGGGCGTCTCAGTGAGTATTCGTGTTTAAAGCTGGGGGTCGTCATGTAGCGAAGCAGCTGCCCACGGGGGAAGATGATGAGGGTGTTGGTGGGGCGGGGAAAGATTGCAGCATCGCTGGTGCGCCCTTGGTTTGGTTTCCTTGCGCAGCCGCGCGCGTTTTTGTTTTGTTCCCAACCCTCCTGCGTTGGGTACTCGTTTTGAATAGAGCACTGCGGTCTCCACCTTCCTTCCTTCCCGCCTCCTCCTCCTCCTCTCTTCCCTCTTCCTCTCCTCTCTTGCTTCCCTTCTCCGCCTCTCTTCGCTCCCCCTCTTCTCTTCTCTTCCCTTCTCTTCTCTTGCCTTTTACGTCATCTCTGGGGGCTGCGATCAGCGGAACTGTCAACGCTTTCGAGGGCTGCTGGTGGGTCCAGCGGAGTGAGGCACCACGGGGACTCAGATTAGACCTCGCCATCCCTGGGGGGGGGGGGGGGCTGCGATCTGTGAAACTGTCGCCACTTTCGAAGGCTGCTGGTGGGTCCAGCGGAGTGAGGCACCACCGGGACTCACTTTAGACTCTGCCATCCCTGTGTGAAACTGTCGCCACTTTCGAGGCTGCTGGTGGGTCCAGCGGAGTGAGGCAACGCGGGGACTCAGATTAGACCTCGCCACCCCTGGGCGCTGCGACTCGAGCTGGCGGTCGCCCTTCGGACCCGCAGAAACATTGCTGAGCTCGATGAGCTAGGGGAACTACAGGAAAGAAGTGCAGGAAACGGAGGCCGGTCATGCACTCGCCGATACCTCGTTGCTCTGTCATCGTCTTTGCTGTTGCATGATCCTTATCTGGCCTGCCGGCGCCGCGGCTCGAGCTGGCGGTCGCCCTTCGGGCCCGCGGGAACATCTTCTGAGACAAGTGGACGCCGCCGCCTTACTTGCAGGCAGCGCATTGCATTCGCGGACAGCAGCATGGCAGACCGCAGTGAGATCCTCAGTCGCGTGGTGTTGCCAAGCCTGGTGGAGACGCGCGTGATCGACCTGAAGTCCCAATCGCGCGTGCACTGTACCTGCGTGGCGTTCAGGCACGCGCGTGATGCTGCTCGCTCCGCGTTCAACCAGTACGTCGCCAGTGCAACTTTGGACGATGGACAACCGATTGATGATACGCGACCCCGGCCTTGAGTTTCTTTCCCGCGGGCCGCCCGCAGACCTGGCGGCGCGCCTGCGAGCGTTCAGCTCCCGCGCTGAAGTGCGCGGGAAGGAGGCGGAGAAGCTAGCGGGCGAGCTACGCCTCGCTCGTTCCTTGCACTCTAACAAGTTTTATCATGTGGAACTCTGCGACGACATGGCGCAGGCAGCGCTGCGGGTTTAGCTCGCACTTGAAAAACGCGGCAGTCTTCTGTCTCCTCCCGCCACTTTCATCGTCGTCCTATTCCCCGCCTCACCTTCTCCATGCATGCTGCTGCTTCCGCGATGGCCTTTCGCCCCCCCCGCCCTCCATTCCATCCCTCTCCTACCCCTCGTTCCCGTACCCGTTCTTCTTCGATCCTGGGGCCTCAAGCCTCGTTCTTTCGATCGTCGTCCTGTGAATCGTGCAACGCATGCGCATCCCATGTAGCTTGCACAGCAAATCGCCGCGTCTACACTGTCGTTGTTCCTGCTAATGTTGGCATACTCCTCTTGCCATTTGATGCACGTGGGTTGGGTACGTCGCAGGGTAATTTTGTTTTAAGATGCGCGGGCGGAGGAGGAGGAGGAGAAGGAGGAGGAGGAGGAGGAAGAGGAGGTGGAGGGGGAGGAAGAGAGAGACACAGGACAGCGGACAAACGCACATGAAGATGACGACGCGACGACAATACGACGAGGTGGCAGGATCGCGGCGGATGCGAAGTGGGATCGTTTAGTACAATTGAAATCTGGCGAAGTCCAGAGGCCCACGCGTCGAACAAAATCGCAGCGTCGGATGTCGACGCGGAGGCGTGACGACGGCTGACGGGGACTGTGGCGACCCCTCTCCTCGACTGGGTGGACCTTCGGCCGGGGAAGAGGTTTGGGCCCAGCTGGGTGCGATGAGGGGGGGCGCCCACCCTCGATCGGGGTGCATCCGTCGATCCTCCGGGGGGGCGTGCGTCCACGGGTTCCCCTTCCTGTCTGGGTCGGGCGCGGTGGGTGGTGAATTAGCACTGGGGGGATGAGCGGATCAGCTCACGTGGGTCGTTGTCCCGGAGCCTCCCTGGGCGGGACGCGCCAGCCACATCGAGCTGCACGCCAAGGCGGCAGGGCCTAAACCAACTGCGCGGCGCAGATCTCATCCAATCGTAACGCCAGGCTCCCCATCTGTTCGTGCAGCGCTACGACTTCGTATTGGGGGAATTCGAGGGCACCGTGCTGATAACACGACCACATTTCAATCTCATGGCAATGCTCTTCGAATGACGTTGATCCTCGAGGCCCATGGGGCTCGACACTGGGACAGTCGCCCAACGTTGAAAAATGCGGCGCCGGGGTCTCAAGTTTTGGGGGCGGGAACACCCATGTTGTCAGGCAGTGCATGTTGGAGGTGGGCGGTAAAACAAAAAAAACTCGAGGGCGGCGAAATTTGAACAGTTTCGCCAGCCCCGCGGCCGCCAAACTAGCGGGCCAAGAATCTCGGCCCACGTCGGGCGGACAATTCGAGATGGCCCCTGGGCCGTCCGGGAGGCCAAGGCGGGCCCGAGGGCTGACAATTCGGAGCGACAGGGGTGGCGATTCGGACTGGTCGACAGCACCCCCTGCCCCTTGGCGCGGGCGTCTTGCAATCCGTGGGGGACGACGGCCGACGCGCGACGAGGTCAACGAAGACGACGGCGGACCGTGGATAACTTGAGGGGGCGTTGCGGGGGCGTCCTGCAGTCCTGGGGACACGACGGACGACGATGAGGAAGGCGGACTGCGGATGGCTTTGGGGGGGGGGCTGCGCGGGCGTCGTGCAATACCGAAGGACGAGGCAACGACCGTCGACGAAGACTGCCCCTTGCGGATGGCATGTAAGAGGGGGATGTTGCGTAGGCGTCTAGCCGGCTAGCAGTCCCGCGGGGCGAGGACGACCACGGTCCCTTGCGGATGGGGCATGTCAGGGCGGTGCGTGTGTGTGGTTGGGGGGAGGGAATGGGCTGCGTAGGCGTCTTCCAGTCCAGGGGGACAACGACTACGACGACGACGGCCCTCTGCGGGTATCAGGAAGGGGGGGGGCCTGCGTGGGCGTCCTGCAGTCCAGGGGGGCAACGACGGACAAAGACCACAACCACGACGACGACGACGACGACGACGACGACGACGACGACGACGACGGGATGACGACCGACGGGACGACGACCGCCAACGACGCGAGCCCCAAACAAAAATCAGGCGGGGGGGGACCATTAAAAAAGTTCCGCCGCCTCAGATACGATTCGCCTGCCTTACACAATAGGACGGCGACCCCCCGAGACGGAGAGGGGTTACCATTCAATCGCTTACCTCGTTTTCCTTCCCTGGGACGAGGAGGGAGGGGCAGTGACGAAAGGGTATGGATGAAGGGAGGGACGGAGGAAGGAAGGAGGAAGGCGGAAGAAGAAGGGGGCAGGAGGAGCGATGCTCAAACGACCCCCTGCGACTGCATCCCCAAGACCCCCTGCGCCACGATCTCTTCACAGCGTGGGCCCCGTCTGGAGGCCCCGACCCCATGCCCCAGGGTCCGTCTTCCTCGTGGATTGCGGTGGCACAAAGCGGGGATGATTGGAAGCTGCTGGAAGATGATTACGTTGAGTTCTGTAAGCGGTGAGGGCGGCAGCCACGGCTGCCATCTGTCGAGCCTTGTTTGGGGGCACGCGGCAGCGTGCGACACGCGCTGTCCGTACTCGGCTTGTTTTGCTTTCCTTTGCTGCTCTGACCGCCCCCTGGGGCCCGGGAGGGCCCCCAGAGGGGCCCACGCGCACGACGGCCAACCTGCCGCCGCGACCTGGCCCCTCCACGGCGCGACGGGCGCGGCCCTGCGGGCGCGGTGCCGCCCCGTGGGCGAGGGCCGGCGCCGCGGCGCGCTCGCCGAGGGCCCCCGCGGGAGGCGCCGCCGGGCCGCAGCTCGGCCAGGCCACCAGGCTCGTGCAGGCACGCCGCGCCGTCCATCGTCGGCGAGCCCCGAGGGGGGAGCGAGCAGCAGGGCTCGACGAGGACCGTGCTTTTCGTCGTCGTGCCGCGTGCGTTTCCCCTTGGCTTGGCCTCTCCTCGCCTCTGCTGCAAGGTAGCATCGAAAACGACAGCACGCCACGAAAAATCGCCGAAACACCGTTGGGGTCGAGCCCTGGTGAGCAGACGCGGGGCCTTCTGAGAAGGCCCCGCCGCCTGCTGAGAAGGCCTTCTCCTCCTCACTTCCACCCCCTCGCTCGCCGCGGAGTCCGTGGAAGGGGGAGGGAGGAGCAAATATATGGGGCCACACGCGAACCCGACCCCTACGCCCCACGACTCTGAGGGGGAGGGTGGGGTTTACTTCGCTCGGGAGCTCCCGAGCGAAGTGAACCCCACCCTCCTCCTCCGAAAACGTGGGGCATAGGGGCCGGGCTCGCATGTGGCCCCCTAGATCAAGCGAAATCCAATGAAGGCCACGGTGTTGCGGGAGAGCGAGAGAGAGAGAGAGAGAGAGAGACGAGAGCGAGAGAGCGAGAGCGAGCGAGCGAGAGAGAGAGAGAGAGAGACGAGAGCGGGAGTGCGAGAGCGAGAGAGAGCGAGAGAAAAAGATAATGACGGGGAGGACAGAAGGGCACGGGTCCTTTGGTGCCCCCATCCCCCGACCCGGCCGCGCGCGCTCGCCACGCAACGCGACGAAGGCGAAGCTGCCCTCCAGCATGGGCCGCACGCGCTGCGCTGGGGAACGAGGACGGGAAGGGGCGGGGGGAGGAGGGAGGAGGGAGGGAGGGGGGGGGGAGGAGGGAGGACGGAGGGGGGGAATGGGAGGGGGGATCGACCCCGAAACGACCCCCGGAGGCTGCACTTCGGCATGGCGCGACGCAGTTGCCCTGTCGTTTCGGGGGCATTGTTCTGCGTGTAGGGGGGTGGGAGTGGGAGGGGCGAGGCAAGTCGGGCCAAACTTGCACGCCTTTTCGGCCCAGCCTTGCTTAAAAAGGCGGCGAAAAAGAGGAGAGTAGGGGGGAGGAGGCAGGAGGGAGGGCCTGGGGGGGGGAGGGGGGGGGGGGGGGCAAATGCCGTGCAAGCACACCTGCCTGCGCCAAAAGAGACAGGAGCCACGCGAGTACACCTATCTTCGCCGAAAGAGACAAGGATCGTGCAAAAGTCGTGCGTCCCCACACCACGTACACGAGTACGGCCCCCCAGTCCGCGAGACCAGCCTGGTTGCGAACATTCGCGCGCTGCGTACGCTCGAGACTAACATGGGTTCAGATAGGCCTCCCAGACGGGGTCCGAACAGATAGGATCGGAGGATCGCGACGCATCACCAATACGTCTGCGATGCATCGGTGATGCACCAGCGGCGAATCTTCGACGTCGGCGATGCATCGGCGACGTCGACGTGAAGCAACTCGGGCTCCACATCGAGCGGCATCGCGGATGAATCTGCGATGCGGCGCGATCCCCCGACCCCATCAACCATCTACTCGGACACGATCTAGGGAGCCTAGAATGCCCTTCCTTCTTACCCTCCTGAAGAGAACCGCCTCCGGACAACCTCCCCCCCCCCTCGGGGATGTGTTGACCTGGGCCAGGGTCAGCCGGGCGCTGCAGGATCCGGCAAAAAATCCTGCAGGATGCCGCGGGATCCTGCACCCGAGCCCGGGCCAGTGCGACCCTGGCCCTGCAGGATCCCGCAAGCTCTGGCGCCCTGCCTGGCCCCCGCCTGCCGTGACCCCCGCTTGCCTGCGCCCCGACACCCCGAGCGGGGCGGCGGCACCGGCGGCCCGCGGGGGGGGGGGGGGGGGGGCGGCCCGCGTCCTGCGTGACGCCGCAGAGCGCGCGGCCGTCCTCGCCAGGAGGGCTCGCCGCCGGGCGGGGGGGGGGCAGCCTTGCGCCGCGTCCGCCCGCCAGTCCTCTCGTCGGAGCTCTGCCTCCAGTCTCCTTCTGTCTCCTCTTCCTCCTCCATCTTCCACGTTGGACACCGCCCGACCGCGCCCGCCAGCCTGGACCACACGACAGCATACCGCTCGTGCCCCCGGCGATGGCGGCCCCACACTGTGGATAGCGCCTCCCCCGCCCGACCGCCCGTCGGGTTCCACAATCCGCCGCGCCGGCCGTTCAGGGTCCGCCTGCCTGACCCGCCCAGTAGGCCCCGCTCGGGCTACACTCGGGCGAGAATCACACTGTAATATCGCACAGAACCGCGGTCATTCAATCTTGCTGCGCAGAATTGCCAGGATAGCAACACGTGTGACATCTCAAGCAAGACGCCCGGCCCGACCTATGGACATGTCTGGTAGTGCGACCAGGGTGGGGGTTAAAGGGCAACGTGGTGGAGGACGAGTGAAGAGAAGTTTTCAGACCATCCCCGTCCTCTCCTTCGCTTCTCCCTCCGCAGCCCCCCTCATCCCATTCCTGCACTCGTGCTCCGTTCCAGCTTGCCCTCGCCCTCGCGCTCGCCCCCTTGTCCTTGTCCTCTCTCTCCTCCCCCCCCCCCTCATCCCATCCGCCCCTCCTCCTCCCCTCCTCCTCTCTTCGTCCCCGTCCTCTCCCCCGTCCCCCCTCGATCCTAGAGGAAGAGGAGTCGGCAAGTTGGCATCAAAGCATGAATCCATAAGATTTCAAGTGTCCGCGCGGACTCCTTGGATCGGCGCTGGACACCCCTCCCGGGCGTGCAAAGTGCACAAGGGGCGGCGCTGGAAAGCCCGCCAAGAGGGTCCAACGCTAATCCAACAGGAATCCGCGGGACCCTCCGAAAATGTTTGCTTGGGCGGATTTCCCCCATGATCGCCTCGACACCATGATCTGTTCACAACTTGGGCCACCAGAGGTCTCGATCCGTTCCTCGGGGCTGGCTGACGGTCCCGGGGCCTGGCGAGGGCTCCAAGTGGCTGGTAACGACAAACGAAACGTCCGTCGTGGTCGTCGTCGTCGTCGTCGTCGTCGTCGTCGTTGTCGTCGTCGTCCTTGTCGTCGTCGCCGTCGCCGTCGCCCAAACATTTAATTATCCTTGCGAAAGACCCAACCATAAGCAATTGTTGGTAACGCGTTGTGGGTGCCGCTTTCGGTGGGGCTCCATATGGGGCCACGAAGCGCTGCCTTGGATGGGGGAACCGCATGCGGACTGCGCCACCGGGGCGGGCCTTCGGAGGAGCTCCCTATGGGGCTACGAAACGCTGCCCTGGGTGGGGGAACCGCATGCGAACTGCGCCACTGGGGCCTTCGGTGGAGCTCCCTATGGTGCCACGAAACGCTGCCCTGGGTGGGGGAAGCGCATGCGAACTGCGCCACGGGGGCTTTCGGTGGAGCTCCCCATGGGGCCACGAAGCGCTGCCCTGGGTGGGGGAACCGCATGCGAGAGCAGCCACTGGGGCCTCCGGTGGAGCTCCCTATGGGGCCACGAAACGCTGCCCTGGGTGGGGGAACCGCATGCGAGAGCAGCCACTGGGGCCTTCGGTGGAGCTCCCTATGGGGCCACGAAGCGCTGCCCTGGGTGGGGGAACCGCATGCGAACACCCCCACTGGGGCCTTCGGTGGAGCTCCCTATGGGGCCACGAAACGCTGCCCTGGGTGGGGGAACCGCATGCGAACACCCCCACTGGGGCCTTCGGTGGAGCTCCCTATGGGGCCACGAAACGCTGCCCTGGGTGGGGGAACCGCATGCGAACACCCCCACTGGGGCCTTCGGTGGAGCTCCCTATGGGGCACGAAACGCTGCCCTGGGTGGGGGAACCGCATGCGAACACCCCCACTGGGGCCTTCGGTGGAGCTCCCTATGGGGCACGAAACGCTGCCCTGGGTGGGGGAACCGCATGCGAACACCCCCACTGGGGCCTTCGGTGGAGCTCCCTATGGGGCCTACGAAACGCTGCCCTGGGTGGGGGAACCGCATGCGAACACCCCCACTGGGGCCTTCGGTGGAGCTCCCTATGGGGCTACGAAACGCTGCCCTGGGTGGGGGAACCGCATGCGAACACCCCCACTGGGGCCTTCGGTGGAGCTCCCTATGGGGCCACGAAACGCTGCCCTGGGTGGGGGAACCGCATGCGAACACCCCCACTGGGGCCTTCGGTGGAGCTCCCTATGGGGCTACGAAACGCTGCCCTGGGTGGGGGAACCGCATGCGAACACCCCCACTGGGGCCTTCGGTGGAGCTCCCTATGGGGCCACGAAACGCTGCCCTGGGTGGGGGAACCGCATGCGAACACCCCCACTGGGGCCTTCGGTGGAGCTCCCTATGAGGCTACGAAACGCTGCCCTGGGTGGGGGAACCGCATGCGAACACCCCCACTGGGGCCTTCGGTGGAGCTCCCTATGGGGCCACGAAACGCTGCCCTGGGTGGGGGAACCGCATGCGAACACCCCCACTGGGCCTTCGGTGGAGCTCCCTATGGGGCTACGAAACGCTGCCCTGGGTGGGGGAACCGCATGCGAACACCCCCACTGGGGCCTTCGGTGGAGCTCCCTATGGGGCCACGAAACGCTGCCCTGGGTGGGGGAACCGCATGCGAACACCCCCACTGGGGCCTTCGGTGGAGCTCCCTATGGGGCTACGAAACGCTGCCCTGGGTGGGGGAACCGCATGCGAACACCCCCACTGGGGCCTTCGGTGGAGCTCCCTATGGGGCCACGAAACGCTGCCCTGGGTGGGGGAACCGCATGCGAACACCCCCACTGGGGCCTTCGGTGGAGCTCCCTATGGGGCTACGAAACGCTGCCCTGGGTGGGGGAACCGCATGCGAACACCCCCACTGGGGCCTTCGGTGGAGCTCCCTATGGGGCCACGAAACGCTGCCCTGGGTGGGGGAACCGCATGCGAACACCCCCGGGAGGAGGAAGGAACGCGGGGCGCTGTCTCTTCAAAACGAGGACCCAACACCACAGGATGGTTGGGAAAAAAATCCGTCGTGATCTCTTCTCCACGCGAGGGTGTCTGGGTCCCCCGCCCTCCCCTGGATACTGAAGATTATCCGATCACGACCGACGAGATCGGTCGCTACAGTCAACCCGTATGAAGAAGGATGCGCGGTGAGGAGGCAGGGGCCTCAGAAGGCCATGTTCATGTTCTGCCGATCGAGGATGGCCAGGGAAAGTTGCCGAGGATGGGACATGGGGTCAAGGATGCAAGGGGCAGCCTTGCAAACCCGCTCATCCTTACTGTGCGGGTGAACTGTGCCGATGTTGCTTCAAACTTGGGCATCGGTCGCGACCGATCGGTCGCGAGCGGTGGCGCCCGGTCGCCACCGACCTTGGGATCCGTCGCGGCCAACTCGGAGTGCCAGTCGGTCGCTGCCGATCGCGACCGAGAAAGCCTGGCATCCAATGATCTCTCCCTCTTCCTCCTCCTTCTCCCGCCACCCTCCAACTCCTCCTCCTCCTCCTCCTCCTCCTCCTCCTCCTCCTCCTCCTCCTCCCTCCCTGCCTCCCTGCCTCCCTGCCTCCCTGCCTCCCTGCCTCCCTCCCTCCCTCCCTCCCTCCCTCCCTCCTCCTCCTCCTCCCCCACTCTCCCTTCTCCTCGCCTTCCCTCTTTCCCTCGCTCCCTCCCTCCTCTCCGATCGCGAGGGTCTCCTTCCCTTCGAGATACCCGAGCCCCGAGCACGACGACGGCGGTGGCGACGGCCGACGGCGGCGGTGCCGCCCGGCGGATCTCCCGCTCCTGCCGGCTCGCGGCGAATGCGCGCCTGCTGCGGCGGGAGGGGGGCGGGGTTTGGATTCCGCAGCGTGTTCGATGGATGCCGACGCCTGCCGCCGCTGCTCATCGAGTCGCCTGCATCGTTGATCGGCGGGGGCAGGGCTCGGATTTCGCCGCTGGGCAAAGAAGCACCCTATATCGAACCCTGAGAGGCTGGATGGCATGGAGGCGAGTCTTCGTCCGGCGCTCGGCTGTTCGCCAGGGTGGCGGTGTGGGCCACGCAGCTCGTCTGCGGACCACGGGACGGGCCGACAAAGAGAAGCGGGCCAGGCAGAGGGCAGCAACGAACAGGAGAGCGAGGAGCCGAGGAGCGAGAGGAGGACCTCCCCCCATCCAGTGACGCGAGAACAATTTTCGCGCCCCCGGGGATCTGGGCCTCTTCCCGCTTCCCCAGGGCGGTGGCCCCCAGAGGCCGAGAATTACCAATCGCTGCTCGCCATGATATGTCGCCGCGCCGTTTGACATCGACGCGCCCAAGTGGACGACGCCGACACCACGGCAAACCCACGGCCAGCCCTGCGCCACGAACCCCAAGCCGGCACCGCGGCAAACCCCGCCGCGGCAAACCCACGGCGCCCGAGGCGGCTTTTGCCCTGGTGCCCGCGGCGCCCTCCCCAAGACGTAAGGCCGCGCGTCGGAACAAACGGCGCGGCGACATGTTTACTTCACCAAAAGAGGAAGCATGTGCCGAGGGCTTCGCGGAGCCAGATCTAAGCATAAAATCCGAAGTCACGAAAAATGCAACATCGTAATCGCGACTGGAGCCCTAGACCCCGTCGTTCTGCGGCATCTATCGAGCCGGATCGATCCGCGAGTGCTCTGGGGGCAGAAGGTGGGCGAACTCGCCAGGTGTGACAAACTACGACGCCAGTATCTCAAAATGCGTCGCTCAGATCTGAGGGGCTCTCCCACCAGACGGAAAAAAATTGGAGGAAGTGGAGAAGAGGAGGAGGAGGAGGAGGAGGAGGAGGAGGAGGAGGAGGAGGAGGGAGGGGGGAGGAGGGAGGAGCTGCGCAACTGCGGCGCAACTGCAGTCATCATCCGTGCTCCTGGTGCCCTCTGCCTGCTCGTCTCTTCCCCTCTACCGTTCCCGGTGTCCTCTCGCTTCCTACCCTCCCCGCCCTCTCCCTCCATCCTTGCTTCCTCCCTCCCTCCCTTCCTTCTTCCTTTCCCTCTTCCCTTCCTCCTTCCTTCCCTTGTCCTGCCCCCCTTCCCCTCCTCATCTGCGTGGTGGCGGGAGGCATTTGGTGGAGGAACAGGCAGGGGCGCGACTTCTACATGGCCCCCCAGAAGGCCGTGGCGACCGACAGCGCGGTCTGCCGGCTCCCCCTTAGGGCACCAAACTGCCCGCGCACTCGCGAGGGCGTGCCCAAGGGGGACTGGGCCGATCAGAGGGCACTTGCCCAGCCACCGACCGCCGCCCCGCCGCATGCGCAGCCCGGCCATTCGGTGTTGGGTTGGGCACAGCACTCGCTGCCGCTCAGGGGGGAAACGTACCAGGACCTGCTTTGCCCAGTGCAGGCCTAACTCCCCAGTCGGGGGTTCCAGATACAGAACCAGAACCAGGAGAAGAGAGGAGGGAAGAAGGAGGAGGAAGGAGAGAGGAGGAAGGAGGGAAGACGAGAAGAAGGAGGAAGGAGGAGGAGGAAGAGGAGGAGGAGGAGGAGGAGGAGGAGGAGGGGGAGGAGGAGGAGGAGGAGGGGGAGGAGTTGGAGGAGGAGGAGAAGGAGGAGGAGAAGGAGGAGGAGGAGGAGGAGAAGGGAGGATCAGGAGGAGGAGGAGGAACAGGAGGGAAGACGGAGGAGAGAGGAGGGAGACGGAGGAGAGGAGAGGAAGAAGGGAAGACGAGGATGAGGATGAGGGATGAGGATGAGGAGGAGGAGGAGGAGGAGGAGGGAGGAGGAGGAGAGGAGGAGGAGGAGGGAGGAGGAGGAGGAGGAGGGGAGGAGAAGGGACGAGTGGAGGAGGAGGAGGAGGAGGAGGAGGAGGAGGAGAAAAAGGAGGAGGGGGGAGAAGGGAGGAGGAGGAGGAGGAGGAGGAGGAGGAGGAGGAAAAGGAGGAGGAGGAGGAGGAGGAGGAGGAGGACACAAACTATCGGAGCTCCGCGGGGTTTTCTTCGGTCGTCGCTGGACCCCGGAAGCGCGCGCCAGCCTATCGCGTTCTCCTGGTGGGGCGCCGCCGCTAAGGGGCGGCGCTGGAGGCGCCGCCGGGGGGGGGGGGGGGGGGGGGGCGCGTCGCTCCGAGAACTCCGCGCGCAGTGTGTGTGTGTGTGTGTGTGTGTGTGTGTGTGTGTGTGTGTGCGTGTGTGTGTGTGTGTTGATGCCGTGTCCACGGCCCCGCTGCCGTTGCAGACCGCACCGCGCACACTCGACAGTGAATGCTTCGGCGTCCGAGTGCCCTCCCCCTTCTCCTGTCCTCCGCGGCCGCCTTGTCTCATGCTGTTCCCATCGTACGTAAGGAGCACATCCCATAAATAATTTCGAGCACCCAGAAGGGTGTCGAAGCAGTATCGGGCGAATGTCTCCCAGGGCCGGGCACGTGACAACCCTCGAGTTTGGGTACTTGTTTGGGTGCTCGGAATTCTTTCTGGTGGTCAAGCCTAAAGTAGGTAGGAACATCATAAGCCTCGTCCCCTTTATTTTTTTGCACGACGGCCGATTTGCGTTTCGGTCGCCCCGGATCGGCGCTCGCTGGCGCAATACTTGCCTCGCCGCCGGAAAAAAGTCTGGCTGCCGTGTCGTCGTCTTCGAGGGCTCTCAGGGCGATGCGACGCTCAAGTCTGAGTGACTACCTCCCAGACCACCCCCACCCAGCGCGACGAACTCAATTTCGGGGTGGGGGGGGGACGGGTTCCACATGCGCTTTTTCAATCTTCCCCAACCCCCCCGCCCCTTGGAAACGGAGGGCAAGTTTGGACTTTCGGGTTGGGTCGGGGTGGCCTGGTGGGTGGTGGCTCAGGGCCCCCCCCCCTCCCCAGAGGCGCGGGGGGGGGGCGCCCCTGCTGGATCTCGAAGCGGGCGGCCCTGCCGCGCGTGTCGGCGGGGGGGGGGGGCGCGCCGCCACGCTCGCCGCCGCCACCGCGGCGCGTCTTCGGTCGGCGGTCGCGCCGCGCCGCGCCGTCGTCGCCGCCGCCGTGGCCTCGTCGTCGCCGCCGCCGTCGCCAGCGCCCCCAGACATCGAAAGCCTTGAAACATCTGGAGACCTTGGTAATGTTTCTTTTCGCGACGTCGAATCTCAGCGTGTTGAACACACATCGCAAGACGGAGGTGTTGCGCCGCTGTCGGCCTCCAAGGGGGCCACTCCGCCCTCGCCAAGTCCTGTGGGCCAGCAAAAAGTCTAGCCGTCCTGGGGAAGAGAGCGGGACTGGGGAAGAGACTGGGACTTCCAGGGGCCACGTATGTAGAAGACAACGAGACAGCGGATATCAGGATGTCTGGATGCTCGTGCTCGTCGTCCTCCTCGTCGTCGTCATCCTCTTCGTTGCCGTCGCCGCCGCGGTCGTGGTCGTCGTAGTATCAGTGGGCGAGAAGCGTCTCGCTGGAAGGGCAAGCCGAGGAGGAGGAGCAGGAGGAGGAGGAAGCGCGAGGAAGGGGGAATGGATTTGGAGAAGGAGCAGGAGGAGGCAGAGGAGGAAGAGGAGGAGGCGGCGCAGGAGGAGGCGGAGCAGGAGAAGGAGGAGGAGGACAAGGCAAAAGGGGAACGAAGGGGCCGCCCTGATCGTTTTGTTGAAAGTGCCCCGCGGTCCCTGGATGTCTCCGCGGAGGCCTCAGTGGAGACCCCTCGGCCCCCAATGCCAGGACCTCCCTCACGCATCGATCCTCGGGCCGCGGGCCTCGAGCCTCGAGGAGAAGAAGGAGGAGGAGGAAAACAAGGGGGAGGAAAACAAGGAGGAGGACAAGGAAAACAAGGGGGAAAAGGAGGAGGAGGAGGAAAACAAGGAGGAGGAAACCAAGGAGGAGGAAGACAAGGAGGAGGAGGAGGAGGAACGACGCCCGTAGCAGCGTGGCCCACGCTGCTGCTGTAGCCGCGGCGCGGAGCGCGCGGGGCTGACGGCTGCGGCGGGCCGCTGCTTTCAGTCTGTGTTGCCAATCGATGGAGGAAGAGGAGGAGAAGGAGGAGGAGGAGGAGGAGGATAAACAAGGAGGAAGAGGAGGAGGAGCAGAAGCAGGAGGAGGAGGAGGAGCAGGAGGAGTAGGAGAGAGGGAGGAGAGGAAGGAGGAGGATGAGCAGGAGGAGGAGGAGGAGGAGGAGAGGAGGAGAGGAAAAGGAGGAGGAGGAGGAGAAGGAGGAGGAGGAGAGCAGGAGCAGGAGGAGGGGAGGAGGAGGAGAGGAGCAGGAGGGGAGGAGAAAAGGAGGAGGAGGAGGAGGAGGAGGAGGAGGAGCAGGAGGAGGAGGAGGAGGAGCAGGAGGAGGAGAACAGAAGGAGGAGGAGAAGGAGGAGGAGGAGGAGGAGCAGGAGGAGGAGGAGGAGGAGGAGGGGGGAACTCCATGGTTGGCGTTGCAAACCAGGCGTGCGATGCGGCGCCGCTGGCTGGCTCATGGCGCGCCAACCCCCACCTTCGGGATAGCGTGCACCGACAACAACTATGGCGGGGGGATGCCGTGCACAGAAGGGCCCATCGCGGGGCGAAATCACCACACAAGGATACCGTGCTCTCGGAGATAGAGAGGTTCCACGCTATGACCGGCTCAGGGGGGGGAATTGTCGAGCTAGAATCGGCGATGAGCTCAGGTAGATGGGCGAGATGCCCCCGATAACAGATGCGCGCGACGCGGGGCGGGTCTGGGGCTAACGGGCCCCTACTGGCCAAAGTTGTCCCCTGGTCCTCGGGTCATACTTCGGGTCTCCTGCGGCCGTTCGGGACGATCTGGCCCTGTGGGCGTGGCTACAAGGCGCGCCGCTGGAGCGAAAACCGCACTTTGAAAAAGACCCGCCCTCAATCCATGAAGCTGTTGCGAATGGTTGATACGAACGTGCGAACCTCTAAAGCGTGAGCTACAAATTGAAAACGACCCGCCCTCAATCCGTATCACCCTTGCGTTTTGTTTGAAACGACTGTGCGCGGCGCTAGGGCGAGAACCACAGCTTGAACACCACTCGCCCTCAATCCGCAAAAGTAGTGCAGACTGTTAAAGCGACTGCGCGCGGCGCCAAAGCGAAAACCACCTGTGGCAAACGACCTGCAACCAATGCGTTAAGCTCTTGCAAGTCTTTAAAGCGAGTGCACGCGGTGCTAAGGCGAGAGCCACTTTTTGGAAGCGACCAGCCCTCCATCTGCGAAGCTTCTGCCAATTCTTACGTCCCATGGTCATGATTAGTAAAGAAATCTCAAGCGAAACGCCCGGCCCGCCCTTCCGACTGGCCTCGGGGTGGGACAGGGAGGAGTTACTCGTGAGAAAAAGAATGGAGGAGGAGGTGGAGGAAGAGGAGGCGGAGAAGAAGGAGGAGGAGGACGCGGAGGCGGAGGCGGCGGAGGAGGAGGAGGAGGAGGAGAAGGAGGAGGAGGAGGAGGAGGAGGAGTAGGCGGAGGAGGAGGAGGAGGAAGCGGATGAGGACGAGGACAAGGACGAGGAGGAGGAGGAGGAGGAGGAGGATGAGGATACAGGATATAGAAGATGCGCTTCGCCCGCGCAAGATCCCGGATTGGGGACATTGCCGCGGGCGTGCAATTCAACCCGTAGGAGTCGGCTGCAGACCGATGGGGCCCACATCCGTGGGCCAAGCCGAAAGCGCAGGGGCTCGATCGCGCACGCAGCGCCCAGGCACAGGGAAGGCGCGCGAGCGGCGGAGGGCGCGGTGCCGCGCTCTCCCCCGCGCGCGGCGTCGGCCGCGCGCTCGAGCCCGCGGCGGCGGGCGCCCGTGGCGAGGCGCTGGGCGACGGCGAGGGCGAGCCTCTTGGCGAGCCTCGCGGGCGCACTCTTGCCCTTGGCGGAGGCCGCGCCGCGCGGTGTCTCGAAGCCGACGCCCGAGGGGCCGTGCCTGGTGGCAGCAGAGGCACTGCACACAGGCAGCGGGAGGTCGCGCAGGCAACTGCGCCTCGCTGACGGGCACGGCCTCGGAGAGGCAGTGCGGCGCCTGCCGGCTGTCGCGGACAGTGCGGCCTGGACGCTCACTGGCACGTCGCTGCCACCGACATCCCTCCACGCCACTGCTGCTCAGTGCCGCCCCTGAAGTCACAGTCAAGCTTGGCCACGACTCCCTTGCGCACGGCCCGCGGCGCAGGTTTGTTGGGCTTGGCCACGCGGCGCGCGGTGTCCTCGCCACCAACAGCCGAGCCCGCCGACGAGAACCGCATGGCCACCCCCTCCACGAGCTTGTCGGACTGGACTAGCTTGAGCCTGGTGGAGTGGTTGCGCCCGCCGTGCTGAGCAGCAATCTTCGCGGTCTTGTCAGCCAGAGAACTGCCGTACTAATACCGGTCCCTGTGAATGGTGCACCCGTCGATCAAGCACTGGCTTCCGCGTCTAAAGTGCTGGCGCAGGATGCATCGCTCAGCCCGCCGAACTCGCCGATCAGACACCACGCGCCCTCGATCGCTGACCCGTCAAGGAAGAGCTCCCCCGACGGCAGCACACTTCCAGCATCCCTCCAAGCCGGCGAACGTGAGTCACCCGAGTGGGAAGCCGAAGTCCAACAGGTGTAGGCCAGAGCGCTCTCTCCAGCAACCACCGCACCGCAGATAGGTTGGCTCGCTGCAGTAGTCCACTTACTTTGCCTGGTAGCCGCCACTCCACGGGCAACCCACTGCACAGGCAATGCCGGTACCGACTTTGCTACGTAGCAGACAAGCACTGCCGAACGCCATGCATCTCTCGCACTCATGACTCTGGGGCCACTGCCCGTCCACGATGGCTGGTGCTAGAAGGCCGCGCTCGAGGCAGAGCCTCGAGGCAGACCGAGCAGGAGACGATGGCGACGACTTGGCGTCTCTGGCAGCAAACTGTGGCGACGACTGGGAAACACAAAAATCCTGGGTGACCAGTGCGTGCCCACCGCCGTCCTGACCTGGCGGCAGACGGCACCGTCTGCCTGGGCCACGGGATCCCGCGACCCCGTGGTCTGGTCGAAGACTCCGTCCTTGCTGACAGGGGCAGAGGATGCTATGCGCGCAGGAGGTCCCATGATGCCTCCCTCAATCACATGCTGAAGATCTGGTCGCTGCCTCTGCCATGCCTGCACCGAGCGCCAGAGTACCCGCTTGACGACCCAGGGCGCCACCTCGAAGACATCGGGACATCGGTGTTTACGCTCTCATGTGTCCTGCAGCCCGTGGGGCTTGCCACTCCACCCGATGTGAGCATTTGAAGCTCGCATCGCAAAGCAAAACCCACGCACTTGGCACCACGCGTCCGTCACGCACTGCACCATTCCGTGCTCGACGATGTGCTGCGGCAACCACTGTCTCAACAAGACACGAAGCATGGCCACAATGGGGAGGAGCGTTGCCGTTCACATGGGGCCCACGAAGAACGTAAACAAACGCTCGACTGTGCGAGGCCGTCCCGCTACTCCTGGCGAAACCGTTCAGCCCGAATATCAAAGGCCGTAGCCTGTCCAACTTCGTAGTCGCAAAGCCCGTGACGCTGAAGCCGCAGGAGATGCTGGCCTCAAACTTCGATCGGGCCATTGATCTAGCAGCCTTCTTGCGCCACCCGTTATGATTACCACCACTCGCCGCAGCCGAAGGCGAGCCCGATCGATCTTTCCCGCTCCTGACTGCACGGGCGATGCTCATTAGGCTCGCCTCGCGCAGCGTGGACCCCCAATGCCCTCCTCAATCTGCGCTCTAGCTGGGGCCTCGTTGCCAACATAATGGGCAGCGCCCACGACTTCTTGACCGACACGTTCAGGTCAACCTCTTCCAGCAACTCATTCAACCTGAAGGCCGCGTCGGCCAGCTCACGGGTGATCCTGATTTGGCCGCCAACGCGATAAAGCATGCGGTCGTCGTCGGCGACCGCCAGGGTGATGGTGGGGAGCTGCAGCGTTAGCGTTTCCAAGGGCCTGGCGAGGATGAACTTTAGTCAGGTCGTCGCGAAACTGTCGTCATGGAAGATAGGCTGCACCGCCACAATCCCGCTGGAGACCGCGCTGCCAAAACTAAGGATGCGAAGGGCGCGGTGCAGCTCGATGCGCAACCTGAGCTGCCATGGCGGGAATCCTGTCTCACGCGCTGCCTCGATGAGCCAGTGGTGGCGTACCTGCTCGAATACCTTCAGGAGGTCGAGCAACGCAGACACGGCTAGACACACTTCGACATCACCATCACCCTCGCCCCGATGTGTGGCCCACTCGCCAATGGCCGTCTGGTGCCACACGGCAAGCTCGCAGCTCCTCCCAACGGTCGCCCACCAAAACGAGCGACGGTTCTCTGCCCATCAAGCCTCATCTGAATGAAGTCGATCTTGCTGGAGAGCTGGCCATGCCGCATCAGCCTCCGCTGCCATGATGATGCTGCTGAAGATGATGATGATGTTGTTGATGTTGATGTTGATGTTGATGATGATGCTGCTGATGATGCTGCTGATGATGCTGATGATGATGCTGATGATGATGATGATGATGATGATGATGATGATGATGATGATGATGATGCTGATACTGATGCTGATGACGTCGGCGAGCATCTCGATCGCATCGTCGCACAGCTTGCTCCAGGCACACGGAGGTGGAGCGTGGCCGAGTCCCAGGCGAAAGGTGGAGGAGGAGGGGGAGAAGACAACGGAGGGAAGGAGAAGGAGGAGAAGGATAACGAGGAAGAAAAGAAGACGAGGCGGAGGAGAAGGAGGAGGAGGAGAAGGAGAAGGGGGAGGAGGAGGGGGAGGAGGAGAAGGAGTAGGAGGAAAGGAGGAGGAGGAGGAGGAGGAGGAGGAGGAGGAGGAGGAGGAGGAGGAGGAGGAGGGGTAGGAGGTGGAGGAGGAGGAAGGAGGAGGAGAGGGAGGAGGGAGGAGGAGGAGGAGGAGGAGGGAGGAGGAGGAGGAGGGGAAAGGAGAGGAGAAGGAGGAGGAGGGAGGAGGAGGAGGAGGAGGAGGAGGAGGAGGAGGAGGAGGAGGGAGGAGGGACGAGGAGGAGGAGGAGGAGGAGGAGGAGGAGGAGGAGGAGGAGGAGGAGGGGGAAAAAGAGGAGTGGGTGGAGCGCATCAATGTGGGGGGAAACGAGTTCGGGCTCCGCGTCGCTGGCCTGGTGGCCTCCGCGGGCTGGGGCGCCGCTGCCGCTCGGCCGTGCGGCGCCCGCGCGCGCGTGCGCGCGCGCCGCGCTGTCGGGCGCAGCGGGGCCGGCGGGAGCATCGGGGATGCAGAGGGCGGGACAACTCCGAGGCGGAGGAGGGGGAGGAGGAGGAGGAAATGGAGGAGGAGGAGGAGGAGGAGAAGGAGGAGGAGGAGAGAGGAGAAAGAAGAAGGAGGAGGAGGAGGAGGAGAAGGAGGAGGAGGAGGAGGAGTAGGAGGAGGAGGAGGAGGAGGAGGAGGAGGAGTCCTCGATCGAGGACGGATGGGGAAGGTCAGCGGCACACGCAAGAGTGACTCCTGTGGCAGAGAGTGACTGACGCCTGGTGCGCGGGGTGGCCAAACCCGGGCGCGCAAGCCGCTGCTACCGCTTCGCGCTCAGCGATCGGGGGGTCCAATTGGGTCCGCACCAAGAGGTCACTCCGGCGAAAGGTCCCTCCTGCGTGGAGCCGAGATTTGGCCCAGAGATCCAACGTCATGATTTTGCAGCACTGGGCCCCTGACTCTCCGGGCCCGGCTTTCCATCCACGGGCCCCCAGGCCGCCGGGCCCGGCGCGATGACCCACGGGCAAGGCGTGAAAGCGAGTCCCGAAATGCATGAAGAAATTCAGATTTCCGATTTCCTCTCGGGCTTCGCCGCGCCCACCCACCCACGCCCTCGCAGGGCCCCGGAACCATCAAAAAACGGCTCGATCAGGATGAAGGGCCGATCCCCGGGGATGGGTCGAGACCTTCTAGGGCTCCACGCTGCTGAAAAAGCATGACATCGGGTGTCTGTTTCCACCTCCGGCTCCTCCCAAACCTCCTCCTCTTCCTCCTCCTCCTCCTCCTCCACCTCCTTCTCGATCAGATCTCGGATCGGAGCGGATCTCGACTGGAGCTCGCATCGGACCTTCTCCGACGGGATACCACGGCAGCGCACCTCGACGACACGATCTCCGTGGCGCGACGTGGGCACCTCGCGGGGGTCTCTGGAGGGGGCGACCGGCCTCTCGCCCCGGAGCTGCTGTGCCGCTGGGGGGCCCCAGGGCCAGCACCAGCGGCTTCGGGAGGCCGGAGATCGATCATGGGGATCGACTGCAGGATTGAGCTGCCCCAAGTGTGTGACTAGTGGGCCCCGGAAGCGGCAGGGCCGTTTTTTCACCGTTTCCGAGAGAGTGTCCCTTGAAAATGGGAACGGCAACAAAAACGGCGACCAAAAGCGGCAACCAAACACGGCTCCACGATTGGAACCGGCGCCTGAACCGGTCAAAAAACGGCGACGGAACCGGTAAAAAAACGGCGTCGGAACAGGCAAGAAAACGGCAAAACGGAACCGGTAAAAAAACGGCCCTGTCGTTTCCAGGGCCCACTAAGGTGTGACCTCCTCGTCGGGCCATACCTAGAATATTCGTATGTTTAGGTCGGGCATGTCCTCCTAAAGCTGGATATTGGAAGAAACAATGAGCAATGGAAAAACACAATCCAACATAGTAGGAGAATCGTCCCCAGACAATGTTTTTCAAACTGTGATTGAACGTTCCTCCTGTAGAGGGGCATGCCCGACCTGATCGTAGATCTACAAGCGCCCTACGCGCTTCTCATGGACTCGGCGATCAGTTCAATGCTGGGGTAAGTGCATCAATCCTCTAGTCGATCCCGTACTCGACGAGACGCTGAAAAGCCATGCCACCGATGTTGCTGTGCGACGCCGGATCTGAGGCGAGCGAATCCGCGGACGAAGAAAAAGCTGCACAATCATAAACCGTCGGAGCTCCGCGCGGATTTCTTGCATCGACGCTGGAAACCTCTGCCCCAGGCGTGCGGCACGCGCCAGGGGCGGCGCCCGAGGCGCCGCCAGGGGGGGGCCCAGCGCAGATCCGAGACATCCTCGCGGAGCTCCGAAACTTTCTGATCACGCAGTTGGTCTTCGAGTCCCACGGGGGCCGCGCGGGCTCGAGCTCCGAGCCGCGGGGGCCTGCCGGCAGCTCACCGGGGGCTGCCGCGGGGTCAGTGCTGCGCCCCGAAGAGGCTCTCGGCCAGCCGCTCCTGGGCAGAGGGGGGTCCCTTGACTGTATACCGGCGGCATGCACAAGGGGGGCGGGGGTACGGGGGAAGGCTTCTTAGAAGAAGGCTGCTTCTCAGAAGGCGCGGGCTTGACATCTACAGATGAGGCCCGCGCCTGCTGAGAAGCAGAAGTGCTTCTAAGAAGCCTTCCCCCCTCGCCCTGACCCTCTCTGAGCGTGGACGAGTCTACCTGTTCCTTCGGGCTTCGCGGGGCCCACACCCACCTGTGAGGGTGGGCTTGTCGGGCCGAGGTACCCAGTGAGAGGTCCCTGGAGACCTCGACACCCTCTCCCCTGGACCAGCTTCTCATTCTAGGCCGTTTTCTGAAGGTCCCAGGGCCTGGAGAGGGGACTACTAAGGCAGAACATAACACAACATCTCCGGTCTTGATTGTTTCGCGACGCGAGGGGGATCTGGGAAAGGTGGGCTAATGGCCTGGTGGCAGATGCCGATACCACTACCCCCCGACCTTTCCGAGGCCCCAATGCGTTCTGACCAGAATTCCGAAGCGAATCAAGCCGTGGCGACGAGGGCCTCCCAGGAGGCCCAACGGGGCGAACACGAGGCAAGGGTTGGCACCTTACCTCCGCTGAGGAAAGGCTGGACGAGGCTGGGCTCCTGCCGCGCCGTCGGGGTCGGGGGTGCTGGCGGGGGCCGTGGGGGATCCCTCGTGGAGAACCAGGCGACCGCGCCGCCGATGATTGCGCCGAGGATGATCAAGATCACCGCGATGTTAACGGCCGTGAGCACCTCCAGCTGCACGGTTTCCCCCGAGGCCGTAAGCGACCCGAGGAGGAGGAGGGGGAGGAGGAGGAGGGGGAGGAGGAGGAGGAGGAGGAGGAGGAGGAGGAGGAGGAGGAGGAGGAGGAGGGGAGGACCAGGAGGAGGAGGAGGAGGAGGAGGAGGAGAGGAGGAGGAGGAGGAGGAGGAGGAGGAGGAGGAGGAGGAGGAGAGGAGGAGGAGGGGAGGGGGGAGGGGGGGGGAGGGGGAGGGGGAGGGGGAGGGGGAGGGGGAGGGGGAGGGGGAGAGGGAGGGGTAGGGGGAGGGGGAGGGGGGAGGGGGAGGGGAGGAGGAGGAGGCGAGGAGGGGAGGGAGAGGGGGAGGGGGAGGAGGAGGGGAGGAGGAGGAGGAGGAGGAGGAGGAGGAGGGGAGGGAGGAGGAGGAGGAGGAGGAGGAGGAGGAGGAGGGAGAAGAAGAAGGAGGAGGAGAGAAGAAGAAGGAGGAGGAGGAGGAGGAAGGAGGAGGAGGAAGATGGAGGAGGAGGAGGAGGAGGAGGAGGAGGAGGAGGGGAGGAGGAGGAGGAGGAGGAGGAGGAGGGGGGAGGAGGAGGAGGAGCAGAAGGAGGAGGAGGAGGAGGAGGAGGAGGAGGAGGAGGAGGAGGAGGAGATGGAGGAGGAGGAGGAGGAGAAAGGAGGAGGACGGGTCGCCTAAGGCCTTCAGAGAAGCCCTCCAATCAAAGTCCGCCCTAGTTTCGACATCGTCCAGGAATGCGGCGGATCCGAACTCAGGGTTGAGGCGAGACGTCCGAGAGTCCACATCGTAGCAACAATCACGACATCGAGGTCTGAGACATCGTGGCCGTGAGCACCTGCGGGCTCCAGTCGAAGCCAGCGCTTGCCGTGCGCTGGACCAGCAATTCCGGGAACTCGCCCGGCTTCTCGCCCCAGCCGCTCGTCCTCTTGGCGGCGCGCACCCATTTGTGAATCAGATGTTTTGCTTGTCGAGCGGCACATTTGACCGACGCTGTTGCCGAATTAGAAGTGCGGCGTTCAATAGTCCGACTGCAGGGGCATAGTAACCGATTTGGTTTGTTTTTTTTTCCGGTGTAATGACGCCCTCGGAAGTAAAACGAGCGGGTCCTCCGCAACATAAAAGCATATCAAAGTCCATGCTTAATTCGCAAACAGCGTATTTCTACACGGCGTCTTTGCCACATACCAGCTTGCGGCAGATCGTAACTAGAAAGTACAGCCATCGCGCAACCATGAGGAACGCGGTGACGGAACGAAAGGTCTGTTCTGGCCTCGGCGAGCGTCGGCAACGCATGGGCTTCCCGACCTATCGGTCTCAAGAACGGCCAGAAAACCAGAACCCCTCCCGAACCCGCAATGAACATTATCGCAGCGTCGTGACTGTCGAAAACCATCGCCTTGAAACAATACATGGGCCCTGGGACACACAACTAAATGGACATCGTCACCATTCGTGCCACAACGTGGACCCCGCAGAGTCTCGAATCGACGCAGTTCCCACAACCGATGTTTTATACGGACCCTCCGTTTAACAGTTCCCGAGGCTAGCGAGGGCCCTCAGGGGTCGAACATAGCAACGAACCATACGAATATGGTGATAAGAAAGAAATCACAGGATAATCCGACTGGGCTGGCAACCGATTCACCACAGACTTCCTTACAATATTTTCAGGACTTGTGTCTGGCTGCATGTTTGGTCCAGACGGTCAAGATCCCTTGTAAAAGATACATTCCTGGCGAAACATAAATTAACGACCACATGACCGTGCGTCGTTAAGAATACTTGGGACTACAAGGAGTGCGGGTTATAAGTGGACGACCTCCTACTCTTCGACCAGCCTCTTCACCTTTGCTGCTATGAGGGTGTCTTCCTGGGGTAAGGTGACAGTCCCTGGGCCTGACGAGGTCCCCCAGGGGTCGAACGCAGCAGCAAACCGTCCGTCGTGTTTTCTCCCGGAGACCCGTTCGCTAGGCATTCATCCTGGCGTTCTGCTGCGCTATTCCCAAACCGTGCAGAGTTCTTGGCTATGGTCTGAAGAGATGGGCCTGGCCGTCGGTCTGGCGGCTATGTTCTCGCCATTGCCGCCCCGTCGCGGCCTCGTCGCCGCCTGTCGTCTGGGCCCAGGTGCTGAAGCACACAGATTGCACCGCAAATGTTGCACACATACCCACCGGTCGGAAGAAGTAGGTAGAAACATGAAGTAGGAAGGCGGAAGAAATAGATTGCGTTCGGGGCCGCCCAAAAAAAGACAACAGCAACAGCAATTACAAGAAGTAGATTGCAAATTTCCGGGCCCTGTCTTTGCGGCGCGCAAAAGCGCTAGGTCGCTCGGTCCCTCGGATGGCCCCTTCCCTGGCTGGTTTCGGTTGTTCTGGCTTGTTTTCGTTTGTCCGTCGATCGCACTGGCAGCCTTTCGGTGGCTCGGCCCCTCGGCTGGCCCCATTCCATCGTTTCGTTTGTCTTTGTTTGTTTTCGCTTGACCGTCGGCTGCACTGGTCGCCCCAGACTCGCCCGCCGCCCCGCGGTCGCTCGGCCCCTCGGCTGGCCCAATTCCTTGGTGTTGTTTGATTTTATTAGTTGTCGTTTGTCCGTCGGCTGCACTGGTCGCCCCAAGCTCGCCCGCCGCCCCGCGGTCGCTCGGCCCCTCGGCTGGCCGAATTGGGCCAGCCGAGGGGCCGAGCGACCGAAAGGCGGCGGGTGTGCCCAGGGCGACCAGTGCAGCCGACGGACAAGCGAAAACAAACACAAAACAAACAAACCCACATAATTGGGCCAGCCGACGGGCCGAGCGACCGCGGGGCGGCGGGCGAGCCTGGGGCGACCAGTGCAGCCGACGGACAAGCGAAAACAAACACAAAACAAACAAACCCATATAATTGTGCCAGCCGAGGGGCCGAGCGACCGCGGGGCGGCGGGCGAGCCTGGGGCGACCAGTGCAGCCGACGGGCAAGCGAAAACAAACAAAAACAAACAAATCCATGGAATTGGGCCAGCCGAGGGGCCGAGCGACCGAAAGGCGGCGGGTGCGCCCAGGGCGACCAGTGCAGCCGACGGACAAGCGAAAACAGACACAAAACAAACAAACCCACATAATTGGGCCAGCCGAGGGGCCGAGCGACCGAAAGGCGGCGGGTGTGCCCAGGGCGACCAGTGCAGCCGACGGGCAAGCAAAAACAAACAAAAACAAACAAAACCAAGGAATTGGGCCAGCCGAGGGGCCGAGCGACCGCGGGGCGGCGGGCGAGCCCTGGGGCGACCAGTGCAGCCGACGGACAAGCGAAAACAAACAAAAACAAACAAATCCACAGAATTGGGCCAGCCGAGGGGCCGAGCGACCGAAAGGCGGCGGGTGTGCCCAGGGCGACCAGTGCAGCCGACGGGCAAGAACAAACAAAACCAAGGAATTGGGCCAGCCGAGGGGCCGAGCGACCGCGGAGCGGCGGGCGAGCCTGCGGCGACCAGTGCAGCCGACGGACAAGCGAAAACAAACAACAACAAACAAATCCACATAATTGGGCCAGCCGAGGGGCCGAGCGACCGAAAGGCGGTGGGTACGCCAAGGCCGACCAGTGCAGCCGACGGGCAAGCGAAAACAAACAAAAACAAACAAAACCAAGGAATTGGGCCAGCCGAGGGGCCGAGCGACCGCGGGGCGGCGGGCGAGCCTGGGGCGACCAGTGCAGCCGACGGACAAGCGAAAACAAACAAAAACAAAAAAATCCACAGAACTGGGCCAGCCGAGGGGCCGAGCGACCGAAAGGCGGCGGGTGTGCCCAGGGCGACCAGCGCAGCCGACGGGCAAGCGAAAACAAACAAAAACAAACAAAACCAAGGAATTGGGCCAGCCGGGGGCCGAGCGACCGCGGGGCGGCGGGAGAGCCTGGGGCGACCAGCGCAGCCGACGGACAAGCGAAAACGAACAAAACAATCAAAATCAAAGAGTTGGGCAAGCCGAGGGGCCGAGCGACCGAGAGGCGGCGGGCGAGCCCAGGGCGACCAGTGCAGCCGACGGCCATGCGAAAACAAACAAAAAACAACAAAACCAAGGACTGGGGCCAGCCGAGGGGCCGAGCGACCAGCGTCACCCAGGGAAGTGACAACCAAACCCTAGAAGTAGATTAGGTTTGCGCCCGCCCCCAAAAACAACAAAAAATATAGATTCTTGAAATAGGAGGGCGCTTAAAGTTGATTGGGATCTGGGAATCCAGAAATACCTACTTTCTACGACCGGTGGGTAGAGCATACCACATGCACTGCGCACCACATAGAGATTGAGCACAACGCTATTCTCCATTAAAAAAAATAGACTGACCCCCCCCCGGCGTTATCCGCCCCCCTTTCGGGTATGTAAATGATATATGATTTTGACCACATGTCCATCTTAAATATGAACTTACACTCTCCCCGAAGGGCCGGGATCGGCCCCCCTAAGGTTCTTTTTAAAAAACCATACGCGGCGACATTTTTTGTTCTAGCACAACACTTGTTTCACGAATCCCTTGAACAAAAATGGGACGAAGTGAGCACGCGCGCGTCGTCGCGCGCGCATGCCGGAATCCTTCAAACACCATCGGTGCCGGAAGGATTTCACAATCGGGTTTCCAAAAAAGACACCAAAAAACATACAACAGCACAGGGTTTCGCAACACTGAATTGCTAAACTAAAAAAGCTTACGCGCGAGCTCTTGCGAAATCTTAGGAAACCCATGGGTGTTTCAAGATTCCCACAACATGCTACCAAACGGGCTTCGCGCGCGCATGTCGAAATCTGTCGAACGCCCTTGCGCGTGTGCCGTCGCGAGAATCCTCTGCAAAAAACTGGGACGAAGTGCAGACGCGCGCGTCGTCGCGCGCGTACGCCGAAATCCTTCCAAACCCATCGGCTTCGGAAGGATTCTAACATCGTGTGTCAGAATAACATACAAAAATATAAGGTTTCGCAACACGGATGATCAACAAAAGCGTGCGCGCGCGCTCTTGCGTCGTCGTCGTCGTCGTCGTCGTCGTCGTCGCCGTCCTCCCTCCTCCCGCGTCGTCCTCGTCGTCGTCGCCTACGTCGTCCTATATCTTTCCTCGTGCTCGTCGTCGTCGTCCTCTTTGGCGTCGTGGTCGTTTCCGTCGTCGTTGTCGCCGTGGTCGTCCTTCCTCCTCCTCCATCGTCGTCGTCGTCATCCGTCGTCGGCGTCTTGTCGTCGTCCTTCCTATTTCGTCGCCGTCGGCGTCGCCGTCGTTGTCGTCGTCGTCTTCTCTCCTCCCTCGTCGTTGTCGTTGTCGGCGTCGCCGTCCTTCCTCCTTCCTCGTCGTTCGCGTCGTCACCGTCCTTTCTCCTCCCTCGTCGTTGTCGTCGTTGTCGTCGTTGTCGCCGTCGTCGTCCTCCCTCCTCCCTCGTCGTCGTCTTCGTTGGCGACGTCGTCGTCGTCTTAGTCGTCGTCGTCGGCGTCGGCGTCGTCGTCGCCTTCGTCGTCGTCGACGTCGGCGTCGTCGTCGTCGCTGCCGTCGTCGTCCTCGTCGTCGTCGGCGTCGGTGTCGTGGCCAATTGCCATGTGGTACCTACCGTCACGGTCTTGTCGTACGAGGTCTTGCGACCAAGTTGCGGGTGGGAGGGTGGGATGTTTGCATGAGCAGTGGAGAGGACAGCTTTACGACGGTCCAAATGAATTGTCCCTTCTAAAAACAGAATAGACTCTACCCCCCCCCCCCCGGCGTTATCGCCCCCCCTTTCGGGTATGTAAATCTCATACGGTTCTGACCAGATGTCCATCCTAAATATGAATTTACACTCTCCCCGGGGAGCCGGGTTCCCCCCCACTGAGGTTCCCTTGTACACAAACACTATGCGGCGACATTTTTTGTTCTAGCACAACACTTGTTTCACGAATCCCTTGAACAAAAATGAGACGAAGTGCACACGCGCGCGTCGTCGCGCGCGCATGCCGGAATCCTTCAAACACCATCGGTGCCGGAAGGATTTCACAATCGAGATTCCAAAAACAAAACATACAAAAAACATAGGGTTTCGCAACACTGAGTTGCTAAAAAAGCTTACGCGCGAGCTCTTGCGAAATCTTAAGAAACCCATGGGTGTTTCAAGATTCCCACGACATGCTACCAAACGGGCTTCGCGCGCGCATGTCGAAATCTGTCGAACGCCCTTGCGCGTGTGCCGTCGCGAAAATCCTCTGCAAGAAACGGGCGAAGTGCAGACGCGCGCGTCGTCGCGCGCGTATGCCGAAATCCTTCAAAACATATCGGTTTCGGACGGATGTCAACATAGTGTGTCCAAGAAACCTACACAACAACAAGGTTTCGCAACACGGCTTTTCAACAAAAGCGTGCGCGCGCGCTCTTGCGGCGTCGTCGTCGTCGTCGCCGTCCTTCCTCCTCCCGCGTCGTCGTCGTCGTCGCCTACGTCGTCCTCTGTCTTCCCTCGTGTTCGTCGTCGTCGTCCTCTTTGGCGTCGTGGTCGTTTCCGTCGTCGTTGTCGCCGTGGTCGTCCTTCCTCCTCCTCCCTCGTCGTCGTCGTCGTCGTCCGTCGTCGGCGTCTCGTCGTCGTCCCTCCTATTTCTTCGCCGTCGTCGTCGCCGTCGTCGGCGTCGTCGTCGTCGTCGTCGTTGTCGTCGTCGTCGTCTTCCCTCCTTGCCGTCGTCGGCGTCGCCGTCCTTCCTCCTTTTTCGTCGTTCGCGTCGTCGCCGTTCTCCCTCCTCCCTCGTCGTTGTCGTCGTTGTCGCCGTCGTCGTCCTCCCCCCTCCCTCGTCGTCGTCTTCGTTGGCGACGTCGTCGTCGTCTTCGTCGTCGTCGTCGGCGTCGGCGTCGTCGTCTTCGTCGTCGTCGACGTCGGCGTCGTCGTTGTCGCCGCCGTCGTCGTCGTCGTCGTCGTCGTCGTCGGCGTCGCTGACGTCGTCGTCGTCGTCGGTGTCATCGTTGTCGTCGTCGTCGGCGTCGTCATCGTCGTCGTCGTTGTCATCGTCGTCGTCGTCGGCGTCGGCGTCGTCGTCGTCGTTGTCGGCGTCGTCGAAGTCGTTGGAGACGTTGTCGGTGTCGTCGTAGTCGTCGTCGTCGGCGTCGTCGTCGTCGTTGTCGCTGTCGTCGTCGGCGTCGCTGTCGCTGCCAAGTGCCATTTGGTACCCACCTCACGGTCTCAAGAGATTGTGCAAGCCAAGTTGCGGGTGGGTGGGTGGGGTGTTTGCGCGAGCAGTGGAGTGGACAACTCACTGCGAACAGAAATTAATTCTCCTTTCTAAAAACAGAATAGGATCTACCCCCCCCGGCGTTATCGGTCCCCCTTTCGGGTATGTAAATCTCGCATGATTCTGACCACATGTCCATCCTAAATATGAAATCGCAATGTCCCAGGCCAGCCGGTATCCCCCCCCTGAGGTTCCCTTTGAAAGAACTATTATTTATGCGGTGGCGTTTTGTTCTAACATAACACTTTTTTCGCGAATCCCTTGAAACAGTGGGACGAAGTGCGCACGTGCGCGTCGTCGCGCGCCTGCCGAAATCCTTCAAAAAACCGTCGGTGCCCGAAGGGTTTCGCAATCGAGTTTCCAAACAACATACAAGAACACATGCTTTCGCAACACTGATTTGCTAAAAAAGCTTACGCGCGAGCTCTTGCGTAATCTTAAGAGAACCAGAAAAGGTTTTATTTTCAAAACATGCCACCAAACGGGCGTCGCGAGCGCGCATGTCGAAATCTGTCGAACGCCCTTGCGCGTGTGCCGTCGCGAGAATCCACTGCAAAAAACGGGACGAAGTGCAGACGCGCGCGTCGTCGCGCGCGTACGCCGAAATCCTTCAAAACCCATCGGTTTCGGAAGGATTTCAAAATCGCGCGTCCAAGAAACCTACAAACCATAAGGTTTCGCAACACGGATTTTCAACAAAAGCGTGCGCGCGCGCTCTTGCGGCGTCGTCGTCGTCGTCGCCGTCTTCCCTCCTCCCGCGTCGTCGTCGCCGTCGCCTACGTCGTCCTCTGTCTTTCCTCGTGTTCGTCGTCGTCGTCATGGCGTCGTGGTCATTTCCGTCGTCGTTGTCGCCGTCGTCGTCCTTCCTCCTCCTCCCTCGTCGTCGTCGTCCGTCGTCGGAGTCACGTCGTCATCCCTCCTATTTCGTCGCCGTCGTCGTCGTCGTCGTCTTCCCGCCTCCCTCGTCGTTGTCGTCGTCGGCGTCGCCGTCCTCCCTCCTTCTTCGTCGTTCGCGTCGTCACCGTCCTCCCTCCTCCCTCGTCGTTGTCGTCGTTGTCGCCGTCGTCGTCCTCCCTCCTCCCTCGTCGTCGTCGTCGTCGTCGTCGTCTTCGTTGGCGGCGTCGTTGTCGTCGTCGTCGTCGTTGTCTTCGTCGTCGTCGGCGTCGGCGTCGTAATCGTCGTCGTCGTCGGCGTCGTCGTCGTCGTCGTCGGTGTCGTCGTCGTCGTCGTTGTCGTCGTCGAAGTCGTTGGAGACGTCGTCGGTGTCGTCGTAGTCGGTGTCGACGGCGCCGCCGTCAGCGTTGTCGCTGTCGTTGTCGGCGTCGGTGTCGTGGCCAAGTGCCATGTGGTACCTACCGTCACGGTCTTGTCTTAAGAGGTCTTGCGACCAAGTTGCGGGTGGGAGGGTGGGATGTTTGCACGAGCAGTGGAGAGGACAGCTTCAAGACGGTCAAAGTGGATGGCACAACATAGATTGCACCACGTCGGTTGCAGCACATAGATTGTGCACCACATAAATTGCACAACATATACTGCATCACACATATGGCACCACGTCCGTTGCACTACAAGAGAATGCGCACCACATAGATGGCACCACATAGTATCCACCACATAATTTGCACAGTATGTTTTGCGACGCAAAAATTGTACAACGTGTACTGCGCAACATAGACTGCAGCATCAAGCTTTCACCACAGATGCTGCATCACGTAGACTGTGCAAGGCATAGTGCACAACATAGAACGCAAGCATACATTGCGCAGCACAGGCTGCATCACATCTACTGCCCCGCGTAGATTGCACCACATAGATGGCTGCACATACGCTGCACAACATACTGTTGCTATAAGCATGCTATTAGAGGTCCGCGCTGGCGCAGACTTTGTTGGTAAACACACCAGTGCCCCACAGGGCGGAAAGGAGGAGCCCTGGACCAGCCGCTTCTGGCAGCCGCTTCGCCCGAGACCTCCTCACGCCGCAGTCTGGAATCTCGTGCCTTCGTTCTTGACGCGAGGGGGTCTGGACATCGAGGCGCGTCGCCGATGCACCGGCGATGCGGCTCGGGCCCCATGGAGGGTCGCCCCGTTGCCCCCACGTCTGCGCGCCAGCCGCTGTCCAGGTGGCCGCGCCGCTGCGCCTGTCGGGGGCGCGAGCGACGGGGGGGGGGCACCGTCTCTGGGGGGGAGCCCTGACTTCGGACCCGCCGTGCTTTAGTTTATCTTCCGATTTGCACTGGTGTGCCCGAAAGGAGTCGCGGACGCTGCGAAAGGAGAGGGCGGAACTTCTACTGCCTCAGAGAAGGAGGGCGCAGACACTGAGGCAAGAGCGTGGCTGAAACAGCGACGGCAGAGTTGGGCGGAAATGAATTGACATCGAAAAAGCTTCAGAAGCAGTGCGGACAACCCAGCCCTACTCACGAAACCGCCCAGAGCACGGCGGATTCAAAGCCAGGGCAAGGGGAGACACATCGACCTGGAATCCCACACCCGCTCGGGCCGTGAGCACACAACGACGGATCGTCCTTGCTGCTGTTTGCGGCCTCTGGGGGTCCTCGCCAGGCCCCCGACAAGCCGGTCCTGGGGAAAGGGTCGAGATCTCTGGGGGTCGGCGATGAAAACGAAGACACGATGTCGGGGGCCTGCGATGGGGATACGCTGCCGGCAGCTCGGCAAGAGTCGGTCCCCCATGGCGAAGCCGTGCGCTCCTTGGGAGGGACAAAGGATCATCAGGCTGAAGTCGGGCCTGTCCCTCTACAGGAGGAAAATGCAAAAATAGTTCTAAAATAGGCTGGGGAGGATTTATTGATCATTTTGAACAATACCTTTCTGGCTATTTCATATTTTTCGTCGAAAAACCAATTGTTACGCCCGACCCAATATCAGGCCCACCACCGGTGATGAGTGGGCGACCGTCGGACGACGCGTGATCCCCCTCTGAGCCCACTCGCCACCCTATCGTAACCCCCGGCCTCGTCGACGCCAGGTTGTTTTCGGGTCGTAACTCGGGCCCCCGGCGACCCGTTCGGGACGATCCGGGCGCCCTCCAAGCGCCCTCGGCGAGGCGCAGCCGCCGGAAAGCGTCCCGAGACTGGAAAACCGCCGAGACCCAACGAAAACGTCCACGAAACCGTCCGAGTCGCTGCCTCCCCCTCCAGGGCCTCTCTCCCCCCATGACTACCGAGATCATCGGATACAGATTTTCTGTCGGTCGCGATCGGTAGCAAGCGAGTGGCACTCCAAATCGGCCACGACCGATCGCGACCGATCCCAACATCTGTCGACTGACCGATTCCGAACCTAGGAAGCAAAAACGGTGGCGACCGATCTATGTCGGCCGCGACTGGAAAATTCTAGTATCCAATGGTCATGATGGGCAAATTTTCCACCACCGCAACCATAGGTAGGACGGGAGACGGGAGGATAGGGAGTTCCGCCTCCTTCTCCTCCTTCTCCTCCTTTTCCTCCTCCTCCTCCTCCTCCTCCTCCTCCTCCTCCTCCCCCTCCTCCTCCTCCTCCTCCTCTCCTCCTCTCTCTCCTCCTCCTCCTCCTCCTCCTCCCCCCTCCTCCTCCTCCCCCCTCCTCCTCCTCCTCCTCCTCCTCCTCCTCCTCCTCCTCCTCCTCTCCTCCTCTCCTCCTCCTCCTCCTCTCCTTCCTCTCCTCCCCTCCCCTCCTCCTCGTCCTCCTCGTCCTCCTCGTCCTCGTCCTCGTCCTCGTCCTCGTCCTCGTCCTCGTCCTCGTCCTCTCCTCCTCCTCCTCCTCCTCCTCCTCTTCCTTCTCCTACCTGTGGCAGTGGTGGTGGTGGAACATCGGCCCAGCAGATCAGGGCCGCGCTGCCCCCGCGCCTGTACATCTGCGTGAGGAGTTTCCGCCTGCCCGCCGCGGGCGCGGCGGCCGCTCCGTGGCCGTCGCGGCCGGCCGCGGGCTGTCCGCCGCCCAGGGGCGCGGTGGCGTTCTGGCCTCGCGCTGCTGCGGTCGTGCAGTCAGGATGCTCGATGAGGATGCATGGGCCTTGGACGCCCATGTCGAAGCTTTTCGAGCGGGGCGCGGCCAGCGAGAGCGGCGAAGGATGGACCGAGGAAGCAAGGATGCAAGGGTACATTTTTGAAGGTTGCCCATCTTTGGTATGCGGGTTGACCGTACTTGAGGACCACACCCAGACCATTGGATATTGTTTTTTTGTTTGGTCGCGATCGGTAGCGCTCGAGCGGCACCCCGAATCGGTCGCGACCGGTCGCAAACCGACCCCAGAATCGGTCGCAACCGGCTGGTCCAGACCGATTGGTCGCGACCGATATTGTCGCACGGCGGTCGCGACCGATACCGACATTTGAAATAAAATCGGTAGCGACCGATCTAGTTGGTCACGAATAAAACATTCCAGTATCCAATGATCAAGGTTGTGTTGCTCCAGACGTGCTTAATTACGGGCCACACCCCAAACATAATTTCGAGCACCCGGAGAAGTATCCGAGCAGGGTCTGCCCGACACGCTAGCGAGGTGTCGATCGAAAATTTTGCCTCCCGAGGCCCGACGCGTGAAAACCCTCCAGTGTCGGTAATTACCTGCTTGGCGCTCGAAATTCTTTCTGGTGGTCTAGGCTACATCTGGTTGGAGGAGGCGGAGGAGGAGGAGGAGGAAGAGGAGGTCTGGGAATTGCGCATGAACGACAACAGAAGTCGCATCCCCGAAGGGAGCACTTAGGCAAATAAGTGCAACGGAACGGGACAAGGGCAAGTCGCCTCTGGAGACGACACAGGTCCTGATACAGCGGACCCCGCTGCGCCGACCCTGATCCTGCGGGCCGGCTACGGGGACCCAGGAAGGCAACCATGTGCCACACCTGTATGGAACAATCGTGATGCGAGGGAGCCGAACCCTCCACCATGCAAAACAAAGGATGCCTGCTTGTCTCCGCCCACTTGGGCCAATTCCCTAACAGTGTGCCCTCCGCTTGAGGTAGCGCCGGTGTCAGGATACGACACCCTGCCCCTGCGGAGGGAGGAGGAGGAGGAGGAGGAGGAGGAGGAGGAGGAGGAGGAGGAGGAGGAGGAGGAGGAGGAGGAGGAGGAGGAGGAGGAGGGAGAGGAAAGGGAGGAGGAGGAGGAGGAGGAGCAGGAGGAGGAGAAGCAGGAGGAGGAGAAGCAGGAGGAGGAAGAGGAGGAGGAGGAGGAGGACGACGAGTTGGAGGAGGAGGAGGGGAAGAGGAGGGGGAGGAGGAAGAGGAGGAGGAGAAAGATGAGGAGGAGAAAGAAGAGGAGAGGAGGAGGAGGAGGAGGAGGAGGAGGAGGAGGAGGAGGAGGAGGAGGAGGAGGAGGAGGAGGAGGAGGAGGAGGAGGAGGAGGAGGGAGGAGGAGGAGGAGGAGGAGGAGGAGGAGGAGGGGGAGGAGGAGGAGGAGGAGGAGGAGGAGGAGGAGGAGGAGGAGGGGGAGGAGGAGGATGAGGAGGAGGAGGTGGAGGAGCAGGAGGAGGACGAGTCGGAGGAGGAGGAGCAGGAGGAGGAGGAGGAGGAGGAGGAGGAGGATTCAAGCTGGGATTCAATCGGAGCAACAGCGTTGCGGGCCACAAAGCCCCAGCCCACAGGGAGACAATTGGGACAGTGGCTTCAAAGGAGGACGGCGCCTTCGGGGATTAGGGGGTTGGACCCGCAGGCGCATCCTGAGAGACAGCGAGAGCAGGGCCAGGATCGCTAGACGATCAAGCTCCGCTCACACTCGGACGCCCCTGTCGGGCGTCGAACTCATCACGAGCCTGCATCGCCATCTTAACAGCCTTAGGGGGCCCGTCACGACGAGGGTAGAGCCCCTTCCCCAGACGGGCCAAGTTTTCCAAGCCTTTCCGACTCGGGCGGCATTCGGCGATAAGATGACGGGGGTCCACAGTAGCGTAGGCCCCACAGGTGTGACAAAAGGTCAGGAAGAATTGGTCCGCTCGGCCGAGCGAGTGCGACGGATGGACTTCAACTCCCTGCAAATTCAAACCGATACCCTGGGTGATCCTCTGAGCCCTGGGAGGGGGAGGAGCCTCAGGAGGAGGAGGAGGGGGAGGCAAACAGGGGCTCGAGCTCAACTCCAGGAACCTCGACTGGGGCACAGTCTGGAGACACGCCTCGCAAACCCACACAGAGCCCCTCAGGTGGAGGCGGTGGGCGGAGGCAGCGAGAGCTCGAGCTACTCTTGACTTCGGTACCGCTTTAATGGGCACCACTTCTCTCTCTGCCTCCGACGATTTGTCGGCGGCAGCAGCATCCTGGAGCGCACGACGGGCACGCCTCCTGATCATAGCAGCAGCAGAGTCGACCGCATCGGTCCGAGGAAGGTCCCCCACGAGCCCCCTCTCCCACGCCAACTCCGCCGCCCTCCCCGCCCAGATATCCGCAGCCATGTTACCCATGGCCGTGATCATCTCTTGCTCACAGTAAAAACTCGCTCTCTCATCCGTGTGAGATGGGGTCCACCGAACCGTGAGCTGGCCAGGCCTGGATCTCCACGACTTCCTAGCACGCTCCCAGAGGTCCTCCTGGAGACGCGAGGCCCTGGGATTCTCAAGGATAAACTTCCAAGACCTGGCTATATTCTTATGGTCGGTGACGAATTCAACATTACCTGGGACATTCTCGAGCATGGGACAAAACGCGAGCAGCTCGGCCCTCGGGACAGGCTGTTTCAGCCCGAGGAGAGGGACCGCAATGCCAGCACGCTCCTGAAACTGACCCTGCTCATCAGGCGCCAGGGCCACGATAGCAGCTCCACAGCGCCGACGACGAGGGTCGTCTGAGTGCTTCCCACCCGACCCGTCCCCGTACACCACCGTCCACCCCCCATCCTCACATTCATCAAAAGCGCCTGGCATCCTGAGCACGAGCTCGGCCAGCAGCGCCTCTTCGAAGCGAGGCGTGGTCATGCAGACAGTGGGCGCACCACGGAGCCAGAAAGTGGGCTGGCTCTCATACTGCGCTGTCGCCGCAGGCAGCAGCGAGGCCGTCTTGTCGTAGTCGTCGTGGTTGCCGTTGCACTCGCAGGACCAAATCCTGTGGAACAGCGTCTCTGGATGCTTCTTGCACCGTGGGCAGGTGGTCGACTCCAGCTTGTACCCGCAGAGATGCCTCCGAGTGCGGGTCCACTGCCCTCCAGCCACGACCGTCAAACTCAATCCATGTTCATCATGCTGGCCACGGGCCTGGTGACGCTTGAGCTCCCTCATGATATGGAAGAAGTCACCGCCACCAGCCAGGCCCTCGCCATTGTCATGCTTACTGGCCTCTAACCACAGCGCCGAGCGGATGTCACTGATGAGGTCGTCGATCAGCTCCGTCGTAGAGCCGAAGTTCTCAAACGCCTCGTCGCCGCTCGACGGGATGTGCCACTCATCAACTCCAGCACTAGTCGGGCGGGTCCAGACCGTCGCAGTCTTAGGATCCCACCCCACATCCATCAATGTAGCAATAACTGCTGAAATAGGGCCTCTGACGATGCTCCAGCGCCGCTTCTCCGCCTTCGCAAGGCGGCCCCGAATCGACGGCCACACAAGCCTGAGTCGCCGATGTAGCTGAGGCTGAGCCTGCCAGAAGCTGAGCCATTCCAGAACCAACTGCCGTCGTATCTCCACCGCAGGGTCCTTCAAACCGAAAGAAGCCGCCAGTGTGCTGGTCAAGCAGCGCCCACCTTGGCCACCAGTGACGGCAGCAGCAGCCTGGCGCCGCAGCGCCAGCAGGGCCGACGGGGAGGCGCCATGGACTTGGTGCCCGTAGGTAGACTGCGGGCACGCACCAGTCGCCCACAAGCAGCGGGCCTCTCGGCCAAGTGCAGCCATACGTCTGAGCCTCTTGATGCGCCCAGCTCGTCGCTGCGCCTTGACTCGCCTCGAGATGGCCTTGGCGCAAACTCTGCGCCTGGCGGCCGCAGCGTCGACGCCGAGGTCGACGCCCTGCAATACTGGCCTCACCGGAACTCCTCTCGCACGCAACCTCTGTGCCGACTTCTTGGCCAGGGAGGCCGACGAGCCAAGGATCACAGACTTGGATGGGACAACCAAGCGATGCTGCTTCAACCCCCGAGCCAAGGACGTACCCACAACATCCATAGCAGGTAATACAGCTTCCGCAGAGCCTTCGCACCGTCCCACCGTATCATCAATGAACGTCCACAGTGGCGCCGACGGGGCCTCCTGATGCACCCTCTCCAGAATGGGGTAGAGAGCCAGCTTGGAGAAGGGGACCCCGTGGGACGATCCAGCCACAATGCTGCGGGTAGGGAAGATCGCCTCGCTGAGCCAGCCGCGCTCGCGCAGGTGGCGCGGGTGGAGGTAGACCTGCACCTCGAGGCCCATGACCGTCGGACTGATGCCGAAGTCCAGGCCAATCTGGAGGAGGCCCACCAGCGAGACGCTGTCGTAGAACTTCTCGATGTCCAGGAGGAGGACCAGGAAGCTGATCTGCTGCTCCTGGGCCGCCTCGTCGAGCGTCGCCCTCAAGAGGGCAGCGCGCAAGGCTGAAGAGCCACGCACTGCTGTGTCCCAGAACGCAGCACGCGCAGGGCACCATTGCGACGTGAAGGTCTGGCGAGCACGCGACCACAGCTTGACAGGCAGCGGTGCCATGCCCAGCACACGGTCTCCCTCTCCCGACGGCTTCGGGGCAAGGGCAGGAAGAGTGGCCGCCAACTGCAACGGCCATGCCTGGGCTGCCTCACATCGCTGGAAAAGATCCCTGAGCTCCTCGAGGGCCTGGGTCGGCAGGCGGCCCAGGTCGCCAGCACCAAGCCCATCAACTCCACGAGCCTTCTTGTTGCCCGTGACTCGGATGGCAGCCTGGAGCTGCTCGCAGTGCAACGGAGGGATGTCCTCCTCAGCTGCTTTGTGTCGTATTGCGCTCAGCGCTTGAATAATACTAGCTGGGGTATCCACTGCATCGCTCCAAATCTTGCCCCACTTCGTCGACTTGTTGGCCATGATCGCGATGGGGTCGGCCACCGCATTGGCGGCAAAGGAGCTGGGAGTGGTCTCCACCGTAGCATCCTCAGGCCGAGGGGCAACGGGGTCACGAACGTGTCGGTGGAGGGCGCCAGGGGAGGTGCGCCACATGCGACGGACCCAGTCGGCGTAGGCCTTGCGAGCCTTGCCGATGCCCCTCGCCACCTCACAAGCTGCAACAGCCTCGACTGCCACCGCGACCTGACACAATCCCTCAACCATCTGGTCGCTGGTGAGACTGTGGACACCTTCGTGTAGGGAGACAATATGATCAAGAGCCGTCTTGGCTCTGTCTTGTAAGTCAGGTCGCTGATCCAAATGGTACTGTCGCAGATGCTGAACTCGACCAGCAGCACTGGCCAACGCACTACACATCTGCTCCTCATCCTTGTCATGGAGGAATATGGCCAAGGCCCTCCTGCAGAGTGTGTCCATAACCGACCAATGTTCAGCACCATCATATTTCCAATGGCCTCGACCAGGCGACGAGACCGACTTCTTCCAAGTGGCTGCAAACCCTCGGGCTCTGCCAGTGAAAGGCGCACGCTCCTGGGCCGTGAGGTTCGGGTCAAGGAGGGACTGCTCAACCTGGTGGACCCACTTGCCATAGTCTTGGGATAGCAGGTCGTTCCCCTCGAGGGCCCACGAGACGATAGGAGACTCGCTGATCATGCGCATCTCCGCCGCGAAGGTGTACTTCGGACAACCGCCTCCATCCGCTCCAGAGGGCGCGTTAGAGTTCCATCGATCCAGGCTGACTTCAAAGACATCGCCAGTCAAGGCCTGAGGATCAGGAGGCTGATGGAGCTCGTGAAACGCATCTTGACGATCTGGAGGCAGGGCCTCCTTGCGCCCCTGAAGGGCTGCTTGCTTGCGCTGGTAGGTTTTGCTCTGCGGGTCAGGGGCCGTCGGTGGCCGATCCACAGCAGGGAGCGGCCGCGGCAAGACCAAAGCGCGGTGCCACCATGCCGTCGACGTGCCCTGTATCTCAACATGGAGGCCACAGTGGACCTTCCAAGGAACGGTGATGACGCCCTTGACCGAGACTAAGTCTGCCACCGACACTGACGCCACCGCATAGTCTATGAGCGACCCCGTGCCCTTGTCACAGGTGACACGGACATCTGGGAGGACGATTGTGCCTCCCACATCCTTGAGGAACGAGTTGCGCTCCAGGGCCGTCGGGGTCAGGTTCCGATCTGCAACGATGATCCACGGGTCAGATACTGATGCCAAAAAGGCTCGCAAAGAAGCCCACCTGTCAAGATTGAGGCCACCGAAACCGTGCTTGGGCAAGAAGTAGGCAGCGATCAGAATGAGGTTGCCAGCACGCAGATGCCAGACAGTAGGGACCCAGCCTCGGCAGGGATCCTTCAGGCGCTCCTTGGTCATCAGGGCCCTCTGCCGATCGAAGGACGTGGTAGCAAGATGGGACCGCGCCAGAAGCCACTCACCTCCACTCGTGCCCTCCGCAGACCGACCCGTGCCCACCGCAGCACAAGCCGATAACTTCCAACCGTCAACGTCCAGACTGGCACGATACTGAATGGGCTTCGCCTCGGTGACGTGAGTCTCCACAAACGCCATCATGCCATACTTACTCTTATGCTCAACCACAAACTTGTGGATACGGGGCCCCCATTCCGTGACATTCGCAAAGAAGAGCGACGCACCAGCACGGTGATGTGCCTTCGTCTGGGCCGAAGACAGCAAGGGCTGGCGGGGGGGGGCTCCGTACCTCACGAGACGACCGTGTAACTGCTGACGCCGCGCAGCTCGCTCGTGTCTCCATCCCCGAAGAGCGGGCCAGCTGGAGGCTGCCACTCCCCGTAGTAGACTGGGACGCCATCATCGGAGCTGACGATGCCACACAGCTCGCTCGTGTCCCCATCCCCGTAGAGCGGGCCAGATGGGGGTTGCATGACACCGAAGTAGATGACGCCAACTCCAATGTCTCTCGCGCCTCCATCCCCAAGGAACGGGCCAGATGGAGGGTGCCTGTAATCGGAGCCGACGGAGCCAACTCCACTGGTGCAGAAGATGCCACGCAGCTCGCACGTGCCTCCATCCCCGAAGAGCGGGCCAGATGGAGGATGCCTGGTCTCGAGGTCGAAGGGGCCAACCTCGACGGAGCTGACGATGCCTCGCACCTCGCTCGTGTCCCCACCCCCGTAGAGCGGGCCAGATGGGGGCTGCCTGACACCGAAGTCGGAGGCGACAACTCCGATGCCGCTGAAGGTGCCACGCAGCTCGCACGTGCCTCCATCCCCGAAGGGCGGGCCAGATGGAGGGTGCCTGGACTCGAGGTCGACGGAGTCAACCTCCACGGAGCTGACGATGCCTCGCACCTCGCTCGTGCCCCCATCCCCGTAGAGCGGGCCAGATGGGGGCTGCCTGGGACCGAAGTCGAAGGTGCCAACTCCGATGTCACTGATGCCACGCAGCTCACTCCTGTTCCCGTCGTCGAAGGGCGGGCCAGGTGACTGCCTGCATGCGCGCCTTGCATAGAGCTGGGCGCAGAAGAATAAGATTGCTCCAGATCCTTTCCAAAGCAATCGTCGTCGCTGAAATGCATGTCCTGAAGGGGGTCGATATCCACATCATCCAGTGTGGTGCTACCCCCTCTTCGGAGGAGGGGCCTTGGCGCGAGGTGGAGGCCGACCATCACCGCCGCCGCCAGGGCCAGGAGGAGCAGCTGCCACCCCGACATCCACAGGGGACCTCGCAACTGGGCTCGCCTTCGCAGCAGACTGCTCAAGCCGCTCTCGTGCTGCCTTGACCTTGGAGGCACGAGCCTTGGCCTCAGCGTCAGACGGGGCTGCTGGGGCTGCGGCCGCGGCCGCCGCCTTGGCTCCCTCGGCGCCAGTTGCGGTGCCCACCGCGGCGCCGCCTTCAGCCTTCGTGGCTGGGCCCAGGGATCCCTCGGCGCCGCCTGCCGACGCCGTCGCCTCTGGGCCTGACGCCACCTCCACCACGCGCCGCCGCTTGAGGGGCGCCTGCGCTGCAGCCAGCTTGACCCCCTCGAGGGCCGTCTGGACGGCGTGACCGCCGCGGCCTGGTCCTTGGCCTCATCCATAGCCGTGAGGGCCGTCTGCAGCTTGTCCTTGGCCTCTCCATCCTCGCACTCATCAATCGCGAGACTCTTGAGCTTATCTTCATACGCTGCCAAGAAATCGGGCACATACTCGGGCTTGACCTCAGGAGCCGTCTGGGCACGATCATTGTTGTAGGCCAGGACCGCGGCCTCGTGGGCCTCCTCGGCATCCACGAGCTCCTCCATGGCCTGATCGTAGTCCTTGCGCGCCTGCTTGAGGCGCGTCTCCAAGTTGGCAATCTCCGAGAGGAAGTTGTGGGCGTTGGTGGCCGCCTGCTTCGCCTTGGCCTCCGTCGACTGGAGCTGCTCCAAGGGTGTGCGCGACCTCGGCAACGCTGGCGTCTCAACTGCCTGCTTGATGGCGAGAGCAGAAGCTGTAACCGATGCATCTTGCTGCACAAGGGCCTCAAGCTGGTTGATGAGCTTCGCCTTACCTCAGGGGCTGAAGATCGCAGGAGATGAAGCGGCAGGCACAGCTGGCCCAGGCCCCTTCGGCGATCCTCCCTTGGGCTTGTCCTTCTTCTTCTTCGGAGAGTATAGCTGCTGCACCTGTCCACACACCGAGCACGCTCCGCCATTCTTGATGATACGCCAGTTCCAATCCCACTGCTTGCCAGCTCGGCAGGACGGGGTCGGGCACATAGTGTAGCTCGTGCGAGGCTGCTGCGGCGCCATGGCGGACTCAGGACAGTGAGCTGAGGGGCTGGTACCGTCGTGCAACTAACGACGGGATCGGGATCCCCTGAAATCGCTGAGAGTCTGGCTCGGGGAACAGAGCTATCCCGTTCAGGCACGAGGGCGCGGAAGCCCTCTCGTGCAAACATCTTGAGCCAAAATGGCTACGGAGGAGGAGGAGGAGGAGGAGGAGGAGGGGCGACCTGGCTAAATCAGCTTGGAGCCCCGAGGCCTGCCGCGGGCGGCCCGCCGGCGAGGCCGCCCGCCGCGGGCGCGGAGGCCTCCCGGCCGCCGGTGCCCGCCGGCTGGGGCAGCGCGCTGGCGAGATCGCCGCGGCTGTGCTCGCCGTCCGCCTCGGGCGTTTCGCAGGTCGTCGTCGTCGTCGGCATCGGCATCGTCATCGTGGTCGTCGGGGGGCGAAAGTTCAATGGGGCGGGTCGAGGGCTGCAGGAAAAGGGGCCCCGAAGCTCCACCCTGCGGGCCCCGAAGGTGCATGAGACCCAGAGATACGATGCCTTGACTGTTCCAAGGTAGGGCCCCTGGAAGTCCAGACCCTTCCCCCGGACTTTTGCCGAGCGATCGGCGATGTATCCCGATCGCAGACGGCCGACGTCGTGACTTTTTGTTTTCATCGTCGACCCCGAGAGAGATCTCGACCCTCTCCCGGGCGTCCGCCGGGCTTCCGCGTGGAGTCCGCCTCGGGCGTTTCGAAGGGGGGGCGGTGATAGGCCAGAGACGTGCATCATGTGGCTTTTCGGGGATTCGGCGGACTTCTGCGAGTTCGGCCTCTGGGGCCTGCGATGGGCACCAGGACCATCAAAACTGGTCGGGGGCAAAAGTCTACCAGGGAGGGGGAGGCAGCGGCTCGGACGGTTTCGCGGACGTTTTCGTTGGGTCTCGGCGGTTTTCCAGCCTCGGGACGCTTTCCAGCGGCTGCGCCTCGCCGAGGGCGATTGGGGGGTGCCTGGATCGTCCCGGACGGTCGCCGGAGGCCCGAGCTGTGACCCGATAACCACCAAATGAGCGGGGACCACCCGTCCCGGCATTCCTATAGGCATACCACGAGATGTTCTCAGAACCTGGGGATGTTCTGAGAACAGAACCATGTTCTTAAAGTATAAACCCAATGTGCTTTTTCTTCAAATCAACAACTTGTGCTCTCATCATGTGTTAAACAATACAGATGTGTGTATATATATATATATAAAGAGCCTCAGCCAGAACTGTTCTTGGAACATCCCGTGCAGACCACAGAGGGTTCTTGGAACATTCTGGGGTGGGCCCAGAAGCAAGCCGGGACGATTCGCCACTGCTCGAAGCGGGCGTCCGCCTCGGGCTTTCGCAGGGGGGAGGCGAAGATACATCGACGGGGCGGGCCGAGGGCTGCAAGAAAGGGGCCCCGAAGCTCCGCCCTGTGGGCCCCGAAGGTTCGTCGCAGTCGTCGTCGTCGTCGTCGTCGTCGTCGTCGTCGTCGTCGTCGTCGTCGTCGTCGTCGTCGTCGTCGTCGTCGTCGTCATCGTCGGGGGGCGATAGTTCAATGGGGCGGGCCGAGGGCTGCAAGAAAGGGGCCCCGAAGCTCCGCCCTGCGGGCCCCGAGGGCGAACGAGACCCAGATCCTGTGCCCACTCGTGGGAGCCTCCCATACCATTTGGTTGACTCTTGCGAATCGACGCTCGTCGACGCTAACTCGGCGCTAATCGACGCTCAATCGACGCTCAACCGACGCTGACCGACGCTCGCCGACGCCAAATCGGCGCTCTCTCATCGACGCCAGGCGCTGATCGACGCTTGTCGGCGCTAAAGACGGAATTGCGAGGGTATACCATTGAGCAGGGACCGAACGTCCCGGCATTCCTGTAGGCCTTCCACGAAATGGTCTTAGAACCCCAACATGTTCTAAGAACAAAGACAATGTTCTCAAAACATTGAACCGGTACGTTAACACAAGACAGTCCCAGCCAGACATGTTCTAAGAACATGTTCGTGGAAACCACAAAAGGTTCCTAGCACATTGCTTGGTAGGCCTATAGGCACGCCAAGACGCTTCGCCACTGCTTGATACCAGGCTCCGACGATTTGCCACCGACCGATGTCTTGGCTGTTCCCAAGTGGGGTCCCCTGGACGTCCCAACCCTTCCCCAGGGCCAGCGTCTCCCCCCCGAATCCTTTTTGGTGCGGGCCCCGAGGCCCGCGAACTAAGGGCCCTCCCTGGAGCCGAGAACGGCGAAAGAGCTTGGCCCTGCTGTGTCCAAGACGTGGGAGGTCTGGGGAGGCGCGCCTGTCTTCACCCCTCCGTGTATTAACCAGCCTCGAACCTATCCCTATCCCTTAGATGGGCGAACAAAAAGCGAGGTCGGTCTTAGGGATGTGCCCTCAGAAGCGGTGGGAATCCTTAAGATCGACATCGAGGTGAGGTGGTGTCAGACACAGGGATAGGGATGTGTTTCAAACTGGTAGTGTATTGCCACCCCCATTGCGTGTCGCCCGACCGCCGGGCTGGCAGAGAAGTCCCGGCCCGTCTGCAGCAGGGTCACCTGGCCCGCGCCGGCCACGGCGTCCTCCTCTGGGCGACGAAAGAGTGCTTCTGGCGCGTTCCAAGAACCCGGACGCCATGTCCCAAAAGACCCCTCCCCAACGGGGGAACCGTTCACCTCCCACCGATCGGTCGCGACCGACCGGTCGCGATCGGTGGCGACCGGTCGCAACCGATTTGGGGACCGGTCGCGATCGGTCGCGACAGATTTGGGATGCCGATCGGTCGCTACCGATCCCGACCGAACAAACAAATTTGGTATGCGGTGTGCGATGTGATCTGTGTATGATTGGATCTCGAGGGCCAGACTGTTTTTGTTGCAAGTCAGTGCGCGCACCGCCTCCGACCCAAATCTGGTGCAGACGGCTCACTGCACCCCTCCAGGGGCGAATCCTGGCCCTTTCTTCTCGAGACCCGCCTGGGCAACCCCGAGATCTGGCACCGCCTCGAGATCTTGAGCTCTCAACTGCAACACCATAAGATTAGGAGGCAACTACTGGGGGATCTTCGTCTGAAAGATTAGGGAGAACTGAGCCCCATTGGGCGGCTGCTACGCGGGACTATGCCGCGGATTTTGCGGGAGTAGGCCAGGTCAACAGGATTCAGCCATATGAAGCGGGATTAAGCTGGATTAGACCGGATTTCGGACCAGAGCGAAGACAAAATTGACCTCCTGGGAGTTGCATCCGAATCGGCGGTGGACAAACCTCCCTTTAGCAAACCTCCCCTTAGTGAAAACGGCCCGGGACCGAAACCGACGGACCTGGACCCGCAAAGATGACGGCCGCGACGCCCTCTCGCGAATTGAAAATGGCCAATTCCTTAATCGACGTGTCAGGGTAGGAGGCCTATCCAGCTCCGACCGAAGTAAAGCGTTGCGGCCAGAGCCATCTTTCTGCCGCATTCCTCGAGCAAGGCCACCGGGCACGGGGATCCCAGTACAGTCGGACCTCTAGACCGGAAGAGCACCCCTCCAGAACGCGAGACCCTCCGTCGGCCAGAGCAAGGAGGACATCCAAGGGCACCCTCCCCAGGATGCACGAGCACATCCAGCATGCGCGCGAGGAACATCCAAGGGCACCCTCCCCGAAGCGACCTCGATCTCGTACCTCGGCCCGGCTGTCAACCAGGACGCCGGTGCGCCCCGGGAAGCCTGCAGCCGCGGGCCGAGGCACGCTCCGCGAGGCCGCTCTCTCCGGCCGGAGCTCTCGAGATATCCTGGTTTGCGGTGCCCCTGTTGGAGCCTCTGTTCCTCTTACTGCTCGCGGGAACGGGCAGGCTCGGGGGAAAAGGGGGGGGGGGCGGCGGCGACGATAGGGGCGAATAGCTCAGGGGCGGGCCTTGCACGTATTCGCCCGGGAGCCTTTTCGAAGACATAGAGCATCGGCGCACCTGAATGCATGTATTGCACTCCCCTGGGCCATTCGCCCCTATCGTCGCCCCGGGGGGGGGGGAAGTCGCTCCCCCGATCGCATCCCGGCGGGGAGGGGGGCCGCTGGAGATCGCAGGGTATCACTCCTGGAAGCATCCGTCGGACATGTTCATGTTTTCTGCCAGTGTAGGAAACGTAGCGCCAGGTGCTTTTCGGGGATGTGCAGAAGGCCGATCACGGCCTTTATCGCCCAAACCTTTTTGTTTGTTTTGTTGTTGTTCCTCTCATTCTTTTAACCAACAAATGAAAAAAAAGAAAAAAAAAAAAAAAAAAAAAAAAAAAAACAACGACAACGACAACAACAACAACAACAACAACAACAACAGCAACAACAACAGCAACAACAACAGCAACAACAACGACAACAACAACACCAACACCAACAACACCAACAACAACGACAACAACAACACCAACACCAACAACACCAACAACAACAACAATAACGACAGCAACAACGACAACAACAACAATAACAACAACAACACCAACAACAACAACAGCAACAACAACAACAACCTATATAACTCCTAGTGCGCCCAGGGAAACCTCTGCCCTGGGGAGAGGCCTTCTCTGAGAATACGCTGCGTTTTTCTCCAACTCTCCAGTTCACCGCGGTCGCGACTGGCTTTGGGACCAGTCGCGATCGGTCACGACCAATTTGGAGTGCCGATCGGTCGCTACCGATCGCGACCGAAGAGCATGGGTATCCAATGAGCTCGGCAAGGGCAGGCGCACCCGGCACCGGGCGAAAGCGCCTGGCGTGAAGAAGTTGCGACGTCTGGACCTCATGGACCAGACAGTATGAGAGGGCAGAAAATCCACCCCGACAAGAACCACCCCGACACGCGAGGTCTTTGGTAAACGCGCCCAAGAAAGGAATCGAACAGGGCAAAACTGTTTATTTAGTAAACGCCCAGAGCCGTGTAGTAAACGCAAATTGTCCGGTCCGGGTGGTTATCCCTCCCTTGAAAAATAACTGCTCTCGGGGCAAAAAACGGCTCGGACAAAAACGGCTTCCGGGAAAAAAAAACGCAGGTGTAACACGCCGAGGAGCTAGGACAAATGCGGCTTTCGGACAAAAGCGGCTTTCGGGCAAAGCGCGCCGAGCAAACGAAGCATCCTGTTTTCGGACAAAAACGTAGGAGTAACTAACACGCCGAGGTGCTCCCGACGGAGGCGTGTCGTGACGCCGCGGCCGCGAGTGTCCCCAGAGGCGATGCAGAAACTCGGTGGACGACGACAATGACGCCGTCGCCGTCGCCGCCGCCGGCCCCCCGCACCACAGAAGCGGCCCACGAAAAACTCCAAGACCGACGATGACGACGACCCAGAGGTTCGAGGTCCAGATTGGTCCCAGCCCTCCTTCAGGGCTAGCCAGCTTCTCATCTCGGCATCACGTGAGGAGTGACCCTAGACAAGAGTGAACTTTGGTCTTTGGTGCGCGGCTTCTGGGGGGCGCGAGGGGGCCAAACCCAAGCGCCCAGGCCGCTGCTATCGCATCGCATTCGGCGGTCGGGGGGGCACAACGGGCCCGCACCACTGGGGCGATGTCCGACGAGAGCTTTAAAAAGGAGTCCAACCGCGGCGTCGAGGACGCCCCAGGTGCTCAAAACATATATATATATATATATACACACACACCCGAAAAAAACACGTCCAAACACCTCGAAACGGATCTATCATAACGTGGACCCCCATGAGGTCTCGACCCAAAACCCAAACCCGGCTTTCCGTCCTGCCCTGATCACTGAATACATATACTTTCCAGTCGTGGCCGACGAGATCAGTCGCTAGCGATTTTGGTTCAAATTCTGGTACCGATCGCGACACATTTGCTTCAAATCGCTCGCAACCCATTTTGGAATCGGTCGCGACCGGTCGCGACCGATTTGGCGTGCCTATCGCGACCGAGCAAATCCGGCATCCAATGATCAGGGCGATTCGTTTTTGGACGACCCCCGGCCCAGCGAGGGCCTCCGACGGCTGAAAACAGCCAACAGCCTGTCAGCCGTGACCTTGTCACGACGCGATGTGCGCCGCCAACACATGTCCGTGACCCGCCGACCCGGCGCGTGCGTGGAACAAAAGCTACAGCCTGAGCTCCAGCTCTGTTGTGGGGTGTGCCGGGGTCGCTCCGCTGGGGAGAAGGGGAGGGGAGGGAGGGAGAAGGGGGGGAGTGGGAGAAGGGGAAGGGAGGAGGGGGAGAAGGGGGGGAGGGGGAGAAGGGGGTGTGCTGGGGAGAAGGGGGGGAGGGGGGGTCTTCCATTGCCGAGGCCGCTCCCGCGCCGCAGGTGGAGCGATGTGGGGGCGGCTCGACCGTGAAGGGGGGGGAGGGGGTGGGCGGCCACGCCGCCAAGGCCGCCATGACGGCCCAGGGGAGCTCCTGCACGCCCAAGATTGCCACCAGACAGAACGAGGGGCCCCAAGAGCGCTCCAAGAGAACCCCCAAGAGGGCCCCAAGAGGTACAAATCATTGATCCTTGTTTTCCAAACCATTCTGTGGTGTTGGGCCCTCGTTTTGAAAAGACAGCGCCCCGCGTTCCTTCTCCTTCACCTCCTCCTCCTTCTCCTCCTGCCTCTCCTCCCTCCTCCCGTCCCCCCCTCGCTTTGGCACACCCCTTACACGTTTCGTGGCCCCATAGGGAGCTCCACCGAAGGCCCCAGTGGCATCGTTCGCATGCCGCCCCCTGTCCAATTTCGCACACCCCTCGCACGACTCGTCGCCAAACAGTGAGCTCCACTGAAGGCTTCAGTGGCACGGTTCGCATGCCGCCCCCCGTCCATTTTGGCACACCCATCACACGCGTCGTGGCCCCATAGGGAGCTCCACCGAAGGCCCCAGTGGCATGGTTCGCATACCGCCCCCCCTCCAAATTGGCACACTCCTCACACGCTTCGTGGCTCCATAGGGAGCTGCACTGGAGGCCCCAGTGGCATGGTTCGCATGCCGCCCCCCTCCAAATTGGCACACTCCTCACACGTTTCGTGGCCAGGAAGGGAGCTGCACTGGAGGCCCCAGTGGGATGGTTCGCATGCCGCCCCCCCCTTTAATTTGGCGGCACACCCCTCACACGTTTCGTTGCCCTATAGGCAGCTCCACCGAAGGCCCCAATGGCATGGTTCGCATGCCGCCCCCCGTCCATTCTGGCACACCCATCGCCCTTTCGCAGCCCCACAGGGAGCTCCACTGACGGCCCCCGTGGCCTAGCTTGCATGCCGCCCCCCCGGCTGTTTGGGCACACCCCTCGCACGTCTCGTGGCCCCATCGGGAGCACCAGCGGAGTTCCCAATGGGATGGCTCGCATGCCGCCCCCCCGTCCACACTGGCACACTCCGCATGCGCTGTGTGGCCCCGCAGGCAGGAGGTCCAGCGAAGGCCCCCGCGGCCGCGCCCGCCAGGCGGCCCCGCCCCACTGCAGCGCACCCTTCGCTCGCTGTGTGCCCGCGGGGACCTCCGCCGAAGGCACTTCCCGCACCGGCGGCATGTACAACTGCATACGGCTGGGCCCTTCGCCAAGAAGAGTGGTACCTTTTCGGGCTCCCGATGCTCCGAGCTGGCCCCCCAAGAGGACCCTAAGTCGGCCCAGAGAGGCCCCCAAGACGGCTTCCGACGGTACCAGACGGGCCAGGAGCCCAGCAAGACGACCCAAGACGGCTCCACGATGGCCGAATACCGCCCAAGAGGCCCCCAAGAGGTCTCCAAGACGGCCCAGGAGGCCCCCAAGAGGGCTTCTAGGAAGGCCCGAAAAGGCCATAATCATTGGTTTTCCTTGGGCACTTCAATTTTTTTGACATTTGCGGCTGTTCGGCCTTCCGACATCCCGAGACGGCCCAAGAGCTCCCGAGATCGGCCAAAGATCGCCCAAGAGGCCTCCAAGATGTCCCAGAACGGCCGAAGAGGCCCCCAAGACGTCCCCAAGAGGGCCCCAACAAGGCCCAATAGGCTTCCAAGACGCCCAAGATGGCCTCCAAGACGGCCCTGGAGCACCCCAAGAAGGCCCCAAGTCGGCCCAGTGGCCCCCAAGACGGCTTCCGACGGCGTCAACGGGCCCCCGGGAAGGCCCCCAAGGCCTCCCGGAGGCCGAAGGAGGCCCCCAAGACACCTCCAACAGGCTCCCAGAAAGCTCCCAGGAGGCCCCAAGAGTGCCCCCAGAGGCTACCAACAAAGAGCCAACCCGTCCAAAAACTAGCCCCCCAAGACGCTGGACAGACGGACACGAGGCACACGTGCCATCCAGCACCCACTGCCCAAGGCCAACCTAAGGCGACTGCCAACACCTTGCCCCTCCTCCTCCTTTTCCCCCACCTCCAACTCCTTCCTCCTCCTCCTCCTCCTCCTCCTCCAACTCCTTCCTCCTCTCTCCTCCTCCTCCTCCTCCTCCTCCTCCTCCTCCTCCTCTCCTCTTCCCCCACCTCCAACTCCTTCCTCCTCCTCCTCCTTCCTCCTCACCCTCCCTCCTGCCTTCTCCTCGAAGCGGAGCTCACAGGCGAGTTTGAAACCTGACGAGCTCGCACGGAGCGGCCTGGAGCGCCCCGGCTCGGCGGCCCCGGCCTGAAGCCTCTACGGTATCCGCTCCAGAGACGCACTGTAGCCCAGGTCAGCCCAAACGCGCGTGGGTCAAGGCCCTGTCGCAAAGCCAAGCTGGCCGACTAGTATAAGGTCGGGCCTGTCCCCCTACATGGAGATTTGGGACGAAAAATCAAGAATAGTGAAACACACACCGGAAATCTTCAAAAATGAAGAAAAAATCGTCCCCTGACTATTTTGCTAACGAATTTTGACTGGTCCCCCTGAGGGACAGGCCCGATTTCAGACTAGTAGCTCCCAAGCCTGGGCCAGCGGAGGGCGGGGAGGGGGCACTGGGAGTCGGGCCGACGTGGTTCCCAAGCCCAGGTCAGCCGCAGGGGGGGGGTGGCCGAGCCCCGTTGGCGCCGACCCCTGTTGCGCGAGGCCCGCCCGCTGCGGCGGGGCCGTGTCCCAGGGAACCGGGGAGCGGAGGGTACACGTCGTTCATTTCCAATCGCGCAAACTTCTAATTGTGCGCGTTTCTAACTGTTCCTGGCCCCCTGGTGGCCAGGAGGAGGCCCAGGATGGAACAATTAGAAATGAAAGGATCTAGGCCCCCCCAACAAAAACAAAGACCTTTCGAATAATAAGAAATGAACAATGTGTATGGATATCTGCCCGCCCATGCGGGCGGGCACCTGTCCACATCCGCCACTCCTCGATCGAGGTCCCAGGGCAAGATCCCGGGGCGGTGGACGTGGACATGTTGGGGCGGTGGGCCCAGATCATGGGGTATACCAATTTTGTCAGTCGCGACCGACGAGGTCGTCTCGGACTACTGGTTTTGCTTTACATTCCGGTGTCCGTCGCGACTGGTTCGGAATCGGTCGCGATCGGTCGCGACCGATTGGGAGTGCCGATCGGATGCGACAGCCGGACCTAGGACAGAATAACATCCTGCCAGAGTACGAGACTCCCCGCTGGCCAAAACTGAAGAACCTTCGAGGGTGCCCTTCCCCACGATACACAAACGCATCCACCAGAGGCAAAGAACACCAGGGCACCCTCCTCGAACCGACCTCGATCTCACACCCCGGGTCTGACGGTGCCGACCGCGAACGACAGACATCTCGTATGCCATGCTCTGGGGCCCAAGGGGGGGTCTGGACCGCGGCCCCCCCTGGGTGCGCCGCGCAGAGTTCCTCCTCGGCGCAGGCGGCCGCCGCGCCCGCCGCGGCGCGGGCGGCGAGCGCCGCGGCGCAGAAGAGGCCCACGACGAGCC